TTTTTTTTTTTTTTTTTTTTTTTTTTTTTTTTTTTTTTTTTTTTTTTTTTTCGCTACGTAGATATGTGCGTAGAGGTTGACGCTTTTTTTCCCTCATTCGGGAAATAAACTCCGGAGGCTACGTATACATGTATAACTTGGGCACGAGTGAAAGCACATTTTTTCAATCACGCCACTTTCAAAGCGCATGAAAAAATCCCATTCATCCAAATCGGTGTTATTAGCAGGGGTAACTAAGGGTATGCACACACGGCATGACTTTTAACGCATATTCATAACCATCGGCTCATGAATCAGTTTGAAAAAAAGAAAATTTTTTACCGTACTGTAAAGTATTGAATAAGAAAAAAAAAAAAGAGGAAAACGTTTCCGACTCTTGTATTTTAACGACCTCAATGCCAAATCATGAGAATCATTTGAGAGATACACTCGAGTCGATCGCACAGTGTATACCAACGAGACAGTATTTTCGGCAATTCGAAAAAATAAAGAACAACCAAAGTAAAAATTCCTCACAAAGCAATAGTGTGGTATGCATGTAGGTAGCGGCAAAAAAATACCTTTCCAGATCGATTGTTGGGTACCGCATTATTCAAAACAATGCAGAAGTGATGCAGAGCCGAGACAGCGCCAACCTATGTGTATACATGCATAGCTCAATAGATTCGGTATGTGGAGAGAAAGGGATACACAGAAAGGAGGATATACGAGGGAAGGAAACTTTCAAGGGGATCGGAATGTATGCATGGAGGTGGTGGAGGCAGATAATTATTTATATAAAACAAAGGCAAGGGGTGTACGAGAGAAAAAACCAAAATAATTAACGAGAGGCGGAACGGGGGGAGCGAAACTCGAGGTAAAATAGCTATACGAATCCAACACCATCGCCTAGAAGCTTGCCTCCTCTCTCCCTCCTTCTACTATTTATACTTTCGCCCAAAGTCTTCAAACACGTGTAATTACAAATACACACCATACACATGCTCGAGATGTTCCTTCGCCTCGGCTCCCCACTGAAAAATTGTCCCCTCCTCCACCACCACCCTTCTGTTATCATATAGGTACGTGCTCTGTGGTTTGTATACTTATTTGTCATATTTTTCTTTCCCCGACATCACCACAGACGAGATACGGCTTTTCAGCGATGTATACACAATCCATACATATGTGTAAACATTAATATTCGTAGGGGCGTATAGTAACGCCCAATGTATTTTCATCGGGTTAAATTTTTGGTTGCTGAGTGATATCGATTTTTTGATATAATACGTCGCCTCGATCGCCTCGCACGCATATAGAAGGAATAAAATTCAGATGATAGGCGTCCTGTGGCTCGAGGTAAAGAAATCGCGACGCATGAAAGTAGAGGCCGAGGGAGGCACAGAGACGTGGACGCGATTGATCGGTAAGCTGGAATATATAGGTATACCATTTATGACGAATACCGGATGATAATAGTATATGGATAAATGCACGCGTACAATGTACAGAGCTATACCTGTACGTGCGTTTGAATGGACGTGGCAAAAAATACAAGAGTTTTCTTTATACCAACAGATTTTTTTTTTTTTTTTCCTTAATCGTATTATACGCGCTATAGAAATCGGCAATTTCTATACATGTATGTAGGCGTATAATACGCTTGCGAGCTATGAAATTCCATTCTAATTGAACGAACCTTTTGTCGTGCCATGGGGTGGCAAACGTGCAATTATCTGAAGAAAAGCTCAACTCATATCCCTCCATGTCATTTTAAGGGGCAAAGTATGAGATGTGCTTTTATTCGTCACTTGAAACGAAAAAACGTCAGTAGGGTAGGGTCCATAGAGGTATAATAAAAATAGAGTGCGCGACAGCGCGACCAAGGCAGAGGGGACGTGAGAAGGTGCGAGAGAGAACGCATTCTATGCCACCACTGACCAGTGACCAGTGACCACTCTGATGCAGACTTGCTGATGACGATTGCGGAAAACACCCAAAAATATCTGGAGATAACTAGAAAATTAGGGTAGTTTTCTACTTTGATCGACAAAAAGTAAAGCAGATAGCGCGAAAAGAGTTAAGTATGGAAATCATAGATGTCTCTGGGATCGAGTTTTCAGTTGTCGTCTGCTGTTGGCTGTCTGCTGCTGCTGGTGCATGCAGTTCCACGCGTCCGCAACTTCGCATATGTATAGTTGTTTACAGGTATATATATACTTACAACAATTAGCATTAACAAGTACCAAGTTGTAAATAAACAAAAAGTAAATGCTCACTTGTAGATACTGCCGGTCATTTCTCTCAGTACCGTTGTGTCTATTGAAATCATCGTGTCAGAGCCCGTGTCATTTTTTTACATGGATCGAAAATTATTGATTAACACAGATAACATTAGATTTGTCTTCTTCAAAGTCTTTTGTTCGCAGTACACGATCGTAAGGCTGCTGTAGTCTTAAAATTGGTGTCAAATCGTCTAGGGCATGTGTATTTTGCGAATTTTGCGCGTCTTGTGATAAGTAATTACGATAGTCACTCTGGCGTATAAGAATGACAGTTCTTACGTACCCGCGAACGTTATTCAATTAAAAATGTAATTCTCATTGGCAGGGCTTCCTTTTGCAGATCTGCAACCCATCGAAACATGCTTTCTCCTCCAAGCCATCAACAATAAATGCATCTCGCCCTGTCATTGTCATCCATCGGAGATGCTGCTGACTCTTTTCTACATGGTTGCGACCTGGGTACAGTCATGGAGACTATCCTCTCTAAGGACGCGTCTCCAGTCAATTTTACAAGGTCCAGAGGCCACAAGGCCAACTGTCATGCTCTACACAGCAGCCACAGTTCAATCGTCAGTCAAAGATGGTGAATTTTTTTTTATCATATATTGCACTAAAAATCTATTAGATATTAAATAGATGCACTTTTGTGTTTTTAGAAAACAATGGCAACAAAAACAAATTACAGAATGGTCACAATTACTCCAATGGCAAGGACATGCTCAGCTCGCACTTTTGTAACAATAGTAATCTCGCTAAACTAGGAGATCTCCTCTGGTACCAAGGAGACAAAAGGCTGTGTACTATATATCCTCAAGTATTTATGCACTGTTGATTAACAAAAATTTTTTAAACGTGTCTCTTATTTACGTTGTTTCTTTTTTTTATTGCAGCAACAAGTCGATGTATCAGATTGGTTACTATTTCCACTAGGTAAAACGATATTTCCTCTATTTATTCATAATAATGCTCAAACACCACTCCAACAAAATGCAAAAATGCACGTACTCATCGAAGCAGATTTAAACAACTACATCCCTCAAGCATCCTCAAAAGCTACAAAGGTGATGTTATTCGTAAAGTATAATTATCATTGATAAATTTCTATCACCGGCATAACTGAAAATGAATTACTTTGTTGAATAAAACGCAGCTCGAAGATTATGGTTTGATAGTAACATGGACTTCAGACAAAAACTTTGGTGTGATACTTGAAACCGATTTAGACCATATAACAAAGTTCTCTACTACCCTAATGCAGGGACAATGCTTTATTAATAATGGATTACCTGTGACGCGGATCGAATGTAAGTACGCTCATCAACATACCGTAACTGCCGTTTATACGTAAAATACATGTAACGTGTTATGTAATCTTTGAACTTACAGCTGTTTCAGTTTTTGGTAAACCGTGTGTGTGTAATCACGAACGCTTCAATTTGGTGGAAAGTACAAGTAAGTAACGAAAAGTAACGATAAAGTTTATTGTTATAAAAATTATTGACGAATCTTTGAAATTTTTCGTTAGAATTAATCAGCGGCTCACAGTGGGATACCTATGTGAAGAAATTAAGACTAGTCAGCAGTACCTCGAGATTGGTATCTCAGCAAAACCAACCGATTGAAGTAAAAGAAATTCCTGGCTTGGTTGTGTCACCAGGAAGTCAACCAATAACGTTACAAATGCCGACTGTTTTAGAAATGAAGATTTTAAGTTACTCTTCTGGTATGATTGAACAAAAAAAATTTTTTAACAGCGTTTACGTATACGCGGTATCGCTCACAATAATCGTTAAAAATCTTTCCAACCAGACTACTTGACAGATTCCCCGGTGCCGTCAACGCCTCCCCCAACTCCAGCATTGGCCAGCTCTGGGATAAACGGGACCACGTCAAGACTAGATCACACCCTCGCAAAGTCAATAGACTTGAATTCATCCGTAGGCTCACTGTCGAATCTAAGTTCCGCGAGATCCCAAGAGTTCATTCTGGAGGATAGCTCGATGGAAAATTTAACCAGTGCAGCTTCACTGAAGGCAGTGAAAAACTTGAGGATCGGCGACAGTAGAGATACAGTCTTGTCGACTACGAGCGTGGCATCGTCCAGGTTGTCACTCGCTACCCCTGCGTCAACAAAGTACCCTGATTTTTATATAATTATATCTCATGGTGACGAAGGAAAACAAGTGAAGTCAACAATGAAATTTTGATTTTTAGCTACTCGACACCCTACAAAACTGAAACCAGTCGTCCCAACGGAAATGCAAGACCTCCGAACATTTTCATTTGCGCCGACAGTGCAGTTGCTAGCGACAACGTTCGCAACGTGCTCGAAACGATTCTCAAAGAAAACAAGTTAGCCGCGTGAATCAACCCTAAAGACGAATCACGGAGTGTACTATCGAAATATCGTGCACAATTTTTGTTCTCCGCAGGTACACAATTTATTCGCTATCGGCCAAGGAATCTCAAAACGACGCCTGGATGGAGACGACAAACTTGGTGATAGTGTGCGGCAACGTAGGCAGCGAGATCTCCTCGCAAGTGGTCGAGTTCCTAGTCCGTGGTGGCAAGCTTCTGGCTCTCTGCTCCGACATTCTGACGGCTCTCTTGCCGACCTTCAAGACCGCGGAAGTTCGCGAGAACGAGCTGGTGCGCTTCTCCTACGGTAAATGGAAGCACGTGCGCATGATGCACCACGTATTCTGCTACCAGGCGTCACCAATCAAGACCAAGTTCTCCCAAGACCAGGAGGAGTCAAAGTATGCACGCAAGCATAAATACAAAGTCGTTGTCCTCGTCGCGCGTGGTTGATGCTTCACTAACTCCAGATCCCCTTTCAGATCGGTGACGCCACCGACACCGGTTTCGGCGAGCGTGAGCGACCGGGCGGGAAAGTTGCATGCCTTTGACGTCAAGGTTCTGGGTTCAGAGGAGACCTGGCACACACCCAGTATTCTGTTGGCCAGAATGACGGAGAGCGCCGGCCGCGCCGTTTTCTCGCAAATCCACCTGGAGGCCGATCCGGCACAGTACGAGTTGTTCGAAGAGAGCAAGCTCGCGGCTCTCAAGCAGAGCAACCTCGCGCGTCTCGAGATATTTGCCGATCTCCTCGGCACTCATCTCGGCGTCGAGGTCACTCCCAAGCCAAAGACTCCGCCCGACTACTGTCCGGCTTTCTTTCTTGGTCGGCACGACGTGAGTCTAATTTATCTTTCATTACTCATCAGTCACTGAAACGAGGTTTTTAGTGGTATACAATATCAACTTGTACTGCGATTTTTTTATTGTTATTCTCTTCAAATTTTTAGCACCATAGAGGCTTGACACTTTATTATTAAATATATTGGTTATGAACTTTACGAAAAAAACTTGACTTATTCACAGATCAGAATACAAATCAAACGATACGGCACACAGCACTCACTACATAACTTTATCGGAAACCAACGAAATTCTCTTTCACCCGTAACACCACGCGTTTCCCGACAGTTGTTTGAAATGATATGCATCGCGATCCACTCCTACACCTCATAATGCATGCCTTGTATTCGTGTACAGCTGAAGATAGAAATGCTGAAGCAGTTGAAGAACAAAATGCAGCCGAACGACGTTTTGAAAACTGATAAGATAGAGTTGCAATTTTGTGGCACGTCCACTCATCCAAAACCCGCGTCCGCGACTTTTCTACCGATTATGGTGCACAGGTGCCCGGACAACTTTTCAACTGTTGAATATTTCGAGGTAACGATAACGTTGACCCAACCAACTTTTTCCAGTAAATTCTGAATACTTTTTCACACCTATTATTGCACCACATTTTTTTTTTTATTCTCAACAAATAGAACCTCAACACGGAAGCAATAGGTCGTTTGGTGATATACTCAGACATAATGACGTCGTCTAACGACATAGTGAGCGGTGTAGCTTTGCACCATGGATTAGCAGTTCTTCCGTTAAGACAAACAAAAGGTCAAGGTATCTATCAAATCACATGTGAAACTTTAGGCATGTATTATTATTCATGAATGATTCTGTTTAACAAAGGACGCAATAGTAATGCATGGCTGAGTCCAGAAGGCTGTGCCATGTTTACGGTACAACTCCATATTCCGTTAATGTCTCCACTTGGAGGACAACCATCACTAATTCAGCATTTGACGGTAGTAGCGATAGTCACAGCAGTCAAGTCGATTCCAGGATACCAGGTGAGTTTTAGCTTCTAATTTTCAATTTAGTCAAAAGTCCTAATTCACATGTCATTCATTTAGGATCTAGATCTTAGAATTAAGTGGCCTAATGATATCTATGAGGGAGGTGGTTCAAAGATTGGGGGTCTCGTTGTCAAATCTATTGTTCAATCAACCATAATTTGCAACATTGGTAATTTTTAAATAAAAGAACCTCCAGCTTGTGTATAATAGTAATAATAGTAATAATAATAATATGTATAACACTGACATACATATTGCAGGAATGGGCGTTAATCTCTCGAATAGTTCTCCAACAACTTGCATAAATGACATGATAAAAAAGTACAATGACATTTCTAAAAATAAATTAAAGAAATTGTCTTATGAGAAATTTTTGGCACTGTCCTTCAATGAACTGGAAAAATTAATTAACATAGTACAAAACGGCAACCTGGATTACTTCTACGAACTTTATTACAAATACTGGATGCACACGTAATATAGACAAATAAACTTACTGATTTGATTTTTCATAAAAAAAGTAGTATAGCTTATAAAAACTAAAAAAAAATTTCCAGGGATGCCGAAGTCACAGTAGTTCTACAGGATGGTTCATCACAAGAGGTTAAAATTTTAGGGATCGATAAGTTTGGATTCTTGCAAGTAAAAGGAAAGCGAGGAAACGTATTCACTGTTCATCCTGATGGAAACAGTTTCGACATAATGAAAGGATTAATAGCTCCAAAGGCTTAATCAAGCAGGACGAGTGTCAAAAACATCTAGTGATGTAGATATTATAGTCACGGTGAATATTATCTTACAAAAAGTCGCATTTTGCAAAATTATATGCCTTGATATTTTTTACTACATCAATTTGCTGTTGATATAGATTGTAATTAATATAAAAAGCATTAAGCATCATGTGTTAGTTATACGTATGTTAGCACATACGTATAACATATATTTACGTATTCCCATCACAAAATTATTCAAATCATTTGTTTCAATTTCATGAAATTTCATAGGTTGTCTTCTTGTAAATGTCTTGATAACTCCTTAAGTAATAATGAAAAAAAAAAAAAAAAGAAGATAAATAAATGAGAACAAGGAAAAATCGGGGAGCGTGCGAGCTTGCACGTGTACTAAGCGTATATAATATACAGTATAGGAAGGGGAACGCGTATCGGGATCACGGAAAATGAAGAAAAAGTACGAGGTGAAGGAGAGGGAGGGTGCACGCGCACATATACACGATATATATGTACACGGGGCGATAAAAAAAAAAAAAAAAAACAGTTGCCGGAGGGGGTGGGTGGTGGAGATCGATGTGGGTGTATGTATGGATAGGTGGGTTGCGAGAAAACGTCGCCTCGCTCGCACGATGGGACATTGGGTCGTATACATAACGTTAAGGATATCTCCCCCCCCCCCCTATATAGTATAGGGACAGGTTTTTGCCGGGATAACAGCTGTACGTGTATTGATATTTATGTATACGTACACATAAGAATCGACTGGCGCAAATAGATACTAAATAAATATTGAGTAGAAGATTTTCTGTGCTTACAAGGGACGCGTTTATTTGTTTATTTTTTTCTTTTTAATAATTAATCGAGTCAAAGGGAGAGACGCGCGCCAACGAGTTAACAATGGTCTCGGCGACAAGGACCTCGCTCGAGCGCGGAGACACTAAACGAGGAGCCACACTACAGGTTCATCCTCAATTAACTCCCGACGAATAGGGTCGTCGTTTTCATCTAGACTCGAGGGCGTATAGCTGCAGGTACTTGGGTACACGACCGTATACGCGTATATATATAGGTGTATAATAACGTACACGCCAAGTTGTGCACGTAACTATAAGCTGCCGCGATAAACTTCGGCGGGGGGCTGTTGAGCGGCGGTTGGAACAAAGGGAAGGGGCTGAGGTGGAAACAAAAAAAAAAGCTGCACATGTGGCAAGGGCACAACGGAGCCAAAGAAATGGATCCATGGGGGGAGGGGGGCAAATGCACTTACTCGGAATAAGAAGATGACGGAACAGGAGGAGGAGATCACGCGGTTAGCTCGCCCCCGAGCTGGAAAATACTTTATTCTCGAACGGCATGAGTATATTCCTGCGCAACACCGTGACACGGGGAAAATATGCAGCGCATTACGGGGAGGGGGAGATTGAGCTGTATGTAAATATATATAGGCACGCGCGCGCCAAGCATAATATACATTGGCCGGGCAACGATGATGGCGCGTGGAACGCATAAATGCGAGGACGAACGTATGTATATTATATACCCGAGGTGCAGGGCATAAGAGACGAATACGTGATATAAATGTGAGCGGGTTTTTCCACGACGGGATAAATAAGCGCTCGCTGTAAGGTATGCGTGGCAAAAATATACCGGGGCGCAAAGATGTGGGTATAAAGTGTTTGAGTGCAAGCTCGTGGGAATAAGATATTTTACCCGACTTTTTTATTCAATGCGATTCTACGATGTGGTAAAATACCTGCAAATGGTTGGAAACAGCTTCCGTTTAGCCGGTGTTCATTGAATCCTTTTTTTTTTTTTTTTTTTTTTTAAGAATAATAGTGCTTTCGATTGTTATTTAGGCTTTTGGTTTAAATACGTTCTTGAGCAAAAATTTNAAAATATTACTAAATGTTTAAAAAATGTATGAAATGTGAACTAAGTATTGTTATGTTTGTTGAAATACATCTTTTTTTTTGTTATAAAAATTATTTCATTTGTATTTTCCTTTACTCTCAAATAATTGACAGAAATAATGAACATACAAAGGTCATCAAATAAATAATGGTACACAGAAATGTTGTGCTTTAATATATTTTGTCAAGATCTTTGTTTTTTATACAGACATCGGGTGTCGAAAGCAAAGAGCATACGACCCGTAAACATTAACGTGTCGCTTTCGTTACGTTTTCCTTCGAACAAACTTTTTTTTTTACAATTTTTACTTTCAGATTGCACTTCTCGAAAAATCTTTAAATCATTCAATTGAAGTTTTATTTTAAATCGACAAAAATGGTCGTCTAATAAACATTGCCGCTTACGTACAATAATCTTCAATAAATTTGAATGTTTGAGTAACGTACTAAGTATTAATCAGCAAAAGTTACGAACGGCAGATTAGTAGCATTTTAACATTTATACAGTACATGTTTTCGCACTCCTAGATGCAGTTTTCCTGATTCGTTGAAATACAAGCGTCGATCATCTAACGGGAACGTCAAGACCAATGATTGCTTCAAAACAAATTAATGAAAAAACTTACACAACGGATTTTTTGATTGCCAATTTTTCGCAATGAAAATATATTAACCCGATTTTAAAGGTTTCCTCAAACCAAGACATTCAACGAGTCTCAAACTATAATTGTCTCGTGCGGGTATGATTACTGTATAAAGTAAAACGTTTTTGCTCATTAGTTTAATTGTTTCTTTCTACAATAAATCGATTACTAGTTACATTGGTCCTTTAAGGATGATGCGCCGTTTTGTCTTGGCCATCAAATAATGTACGCCCACAATGTTGTCCAGCACTTGCCTGCAGTGATTCTTCGAAAAACTGCGGGTAATGTTGATTTCTCGCTTTTGTTCTCCCTCAATGGGAAAAAGTACTTATACCGTTACACAATTTTTATTCATTTTTTTTGTCTTTCTACAGCTGCTAATCTGTACATGGTCACAAACGACAAAGGTACGTTTTATTATTTTCATAACGATAAGCACGCAATAATTTCCTTTTTTTAATTATCATTATGAATTAAAAATTAAGTGGCATTTTTTTTCGTTTACTTGAATCACCAAAAATAATTCTTCCCTTTAAATTTAAAAACGAATTCAAACTATGAGTCTGAAATATACGTATATTCGAAACATTCGTGCTATACAATTTAACATTTAGATGAATTACTGTGTGCTTATAATAATTTATACTTTGTTTTTTTTTTTGTATTTTTTTTTTTTCAACGACAAATCGAATTTTAATATCGTATAATCAAAGCATCACGAAAATATGAGCAACAAAACAACGTATGCACAACAACAACAACGATAATAATAAAAAAAACACGTGTGTGTTCGTTAAACGCATAAATAATTGCTTTTTACCCAGATTTTAATGCGTAAGGACTAATAATTACAGGTGATAAAATAATTCGCAGTCTTTTTATAAAGTCTTTTAGTATCTCTTAAATTAAAAAATTGAAATGACAAAACTGCAAGTAGAACAAAAATGGAGAAGCAAGAGACATTACCCCCGCGTTAACATACGTACGAATAAAAGTGGAAAAAAAATCCTCTAAATTCAAAGAGTTCAAAGTTCATGCAGCCTACTCGTAACTTTTTTTTTTTCGTTTTTTTGTTTACCTCATTATGAGTCCAATAATCTATTTCCCATTGCGTTTTTCAGGTCATCATACCAACAAGTCGGCTTTGTAATTATCTTATTGTTCGCTTCTTAGTCAATTGTCACTACTGAAGTAGACTTTTTTTACTTATTTATTTTAACTACGCTAGAATTTATTACTTAATACGATGCCATTTCAATAAGATGGTATATATATTACAACAATCGGTTTGTTTTTTTTTTTTTTGCCATCATCAATCGAATGCCAGCAATATATGTATATATTTATAACTCTATAAGGCTATTAACGTTAATTTTTGTTCGCCTCTACACCGGACGCCTCTCTCTGTATTTCTCTTTATTTTTCGATGTACAGCAAAGATGAGCACACACATGGTGTCGCTTCGAGAGACACTGGCTAAGATCTCACGATAATCGCAACTAACGTGAAAAAAAAAAAAAAAAAAAAAAACTTTTACTTACATTACTTTATCCCACCTTTTCGTTATAGTGCTTTTTTTTTACATTGACAGTCATAGGCCAAAAGGGTGTAAGAGAGGACATACGAATGAAAAACTGCATTAATTATGTACTTACCAACTAAGTACTGACCTTGTATATGAATGATTACAAAGAAAAGTGTTTTAGCTGTAGCACGTCGAAAATCGTTTGCGAACTAAAATATTGAAATAAATTTTGATTGGCTCGCATACACCCTTTGACCTATCGGCTATGAGAAAACACATACACGTATGTTACGTATTTATCTTTGTTATCATTATTAATATTATTTTTATCATTGTTATTATCATACAAATACAAATGATGGTGCCTGTACGTTTGGTGCCTTAATACTTATACAACTGCACACAAATATCAATTTTTTTTTTTTTCTTTCAATATCTTTTTACACCTTTGAACTGCATCGTTTGGCAGCAGAAAAACCATATCGAGAATTTTTTTTTTTTTTCAACTCTTCGAAAGTTGTATAATTGCGTTATTTATGGAAAACGTTTTACAACACTGGTAAGTTTGTGGAAGATAGAGGACTATGGGCACGAGAAACTATCGTCAAACGACATTTGTCAAGTGTTAAAAGAAAATTGCTATACAGCCAGTTGCTCAAAAAAAGGTATTATAAAGAAAAAAAGAAAAGAAAAAGAAAAAAAACCAAATGAGAGAAACAGAACTCAATATTAATAACTAAAATCGTATTTAAAATACGGTACCGAGGAAAAGCCAATGAAGGAAAAAAATAGCAAACGAGTCGCATGTTATCCCTAAAATCTAGCGGCACAGAAAGACCATTGGGCCGTTACCAATAGCAGTACTTATGTCAACGAAATTCCAAGTGTATACGATTATCGTTGTGTCGATAAAATATACCCACAAGACACACACTCAATTTACAACACACATACACTCCCACACACTTGCACTCGCTTATTGTTGTATAACTACAACATTACAATCGTTTATTTTATTAGTATTATTATTGTTATTATTATTATTATTGTTATTAGTTTTGTTAAAAGCCGATATACATATACATATATATATATTACAAGCGCACGCACGCGTGCGCCATATCTGCACGTGAACACAATTGGCTCGCGTTCGTTTCTTTTCTTTTTTTTTTTTTGCATTTCTCCACATTTTTTCTTTTCTGTTCGGTTGACGTGCAAAAACGAGCTAAGCTACGTGCATATCTGAACGTCAAGTCACCAACTTGATCCCTACACCCCTTCCTTTGTTTTTTACATTCCCTACTTCGTACTATTATAGAGAATCATTTCTTCTTCAAATTTCAGCAACTATACTTTGATAAGTATAATGGACACGTTGATTTCACGTTGATCACACTGCCATAACAGCAGTACTACGGTATAAGTTTTGATTGCATATTTCGATGCAAAATTTACTGTTTTTACAAAACAATAAGCAACAAATTAAAAAAAAAATTTTTTTTAAATAATTATTTCTGATCGGCGATAAGCAAGCTTGCTACTCAAGTATTCTGGTTTAGTTTTGCAAAAGCGAGGAATAACAATTCATTGCTACTTGAAATAAATAACTTTTATGACTAGAAACTTCATACTCCTAAAAAAAACGCAATTTTTCGAACTATAGTTGCTTGATAAGGGTTCAGTGATTAAAAATGGCACTTCTTCCCCGCCCCGCCCTCCCAATCAAATACTGATTGTTGAAAAAAATTTTTTTTTAATGCACGAAAAATGCACGCGACGCGATACTTTGAATTAAACAACAAGGATAAGTATTACCGTAGCTGTACATTATAGTGCGCGCGACAGCCCTGATGGTATAATATGTAAGACATACAGTATACCAAAATCGTGGGGTATACGTATCAACACTATTATATGCATAAACCAACACGAATAGTCGGATCAACGCGATCCAGGCCCCTATACATCTTCCTCGCTTTGTCCTTTAGTGCAGCTCATATTGTATACACGCGAGGCATGCCCATTTACGGGGTTGCGGATCCGCGAATCAGGTAAGTGTGTCCGAAGCAGCATCGACAATCCACAATATACACACACACACACACACACACTCTCAAACATCGGGCGACGTTTGTTTGGAATTTTCGTTGCCTTAACAAGTCCATTGTACACCTTATACGCGTGTGTACATACGTACATTAATACACAACTTACGGACTAAAGCTACAATTGTATTGTATTGTATTATATGTATATATAATATGTATAGGTACTTGGGAAAGAATAACGAAAGAGAGTGTCCTCTCGATTTTTAATCTAATATCACGTGGGTTTTCCATCTTCCCTCCATATACAGCCGCTCCGTATCAGCGGCACTGAATTTACATGTGTATATATATATATAATATACAGCGGCAAGGGTTGGCGTGCAGCGACATCGTATGCCTCTCTTACCTGCCTTTGTCCCCGCCGTCCCGGGGGCGAGAGCGAGCCGAGGACTGCAGTGACGGGGCACGGGTTCAAATGAATCTGGGCAGACCACCGGCCGAGCGGTGGTACATGTACGGAGCAGGTGGCAACCCGCCAAAGTGACTCTGGCGTCGGTGGGCCTGCAGACCGCGGTGCAGGTGTCCCCCGAGTCCGAGCGAGGACGACGCCTGCTGCTGCTGGCGGAGCTGGTGCTGCTGCTGCTGCTGCTGCTGCTGGAGAAGATGGGAGGCGCCATCGCCGAGGTCGAGCTCGAGTTCCTGCTGCTCGACGAGCTGGAGGGCGCCGAACGAGGCGGTCGCCATAGCCACGTCCGGCATTATGCCCGACAGGTGGCCCTCGCTGCACGAGTTCAGCTCCGAGTGCTGTGGACACAGTTTTCGCGATTCTCGTTTTTATTTGATACCAAAGACCAGGGAAGATGAGGGTCATTTTTTTCCTTTTTCGTTTCATTGACGATTGTCACACAAGTACCTACGATTGAAAATCATGGTAATGGAAGCCGAAAATCACAAGAGCGTTTTTTTGACCAGTCAGTGGGAAAACTGCGTTGGGTTGTCGTGGGATATAGGAAAAGTGGAATTCCACGGTTATATCCTTATCTCACTTGTGTTTGCTAACTTTGATGATAGCAATGACGATAAGTACAGGATTTTTCGTTGCCAGTCGGTTGTCGATATACAACCGGATTCACGGATTGATACAGCCATGTAGCAACGCATGAAAAACGTACATAGGAGAGAATAATACTCTTTTCTACCGATATTGGCCCTCCGATGAATTAAAATTTCCATTGTTTTGTTACTGTTACAGTTTCAATAAAAAAAGGCAAAAATCAACCAAAAATCTTCATCTTTCGTTTTTGCCTTCCATCATTTCAATGTGTTCCTCTAGTATAAGTAATTGGAATAACCGCGCATGGTTTTTAAATTAATAAAATAAAATCGCCTACAAAGTTATTAAAAACCTAATGAATGTTAAAACGGAAAGAAATTATATTAATCCTTGTATATACGTTATATATACATGCACGAGCATAATGTGAGTATCTAAGGATCATCAATGTATTATATGACCACTTGCCCCAAATGCCCGCACACGTGTCGGATGTGCAATGGTACGTTATTCATGTACACGTATGGGCTGTAGCCACGAGGAGTGTGTGGATAAACGGTATATAAGTGTTACCTCGATAGCCAGCCTGTAGTTTTCTCCCTCGGTGACGATGGCGGGTAGCTCGTGGTGCCGGTGGCCGTACGAGGCCGCGTGCCGAGGAAAGGTCATGTTGCGCCCGTAACAGAGCACAGCTCCACCCGGCCCGTTGCCACCCCCGAGCCCGCTACCCCCGAAACTCAACAGCGAGCCGCAATCCTCGTCCGATCTCACCGAGTGAGAGTCCGGCTCGCCGAGACTGCTGCCGTAGCACGCCGCGTTCTGAAATAAAAAAAAAAAAAAACAAAAAAAAAACCATTATTCAGTCATTTATCAATTTCAGCACTCGTCCATGCGACTTTTGTACATTTTTTATGCTTTCCCTACCTAAGTATATGTATGTTTTATCCAAAGGGATTCGATCACGTGCATCGTTATGTTTCTCGTGAGCTTTTGCAAGTATATAATTATACCTACCTGCGCTGCATATCCTCTGTATTCAAGGACAAGCAGTCGCAGTTCAACTTTCATCCATGTGCCGTGTGCTATTGAAGCGCGATGGTGATTGTAATGCACTTGTTGCGAAAGGATGAGCCCGACCTTACGAAAAACCGTGGATGGAAAAGGGGGATGATGGGGTGAAAAAAAAAAAAAAAAAAAAAAAAGGAATCATTCATCTGTCTTGGCCATGGAAAAGTATATTATACGTGTAAGATAATGTTGATGGACTGCGTTAAATGACTGCTCGTTAGTTCGATTAATTAATGTATTCCATTGAATCAAATATAATCATTCGGAGTATAATTGGAGCAAATGTTGCGTATTCTAATTGAGCATGACGTAAGATGCCGTTGCATTTTCGTGTTGCGCGCCGAACAACATAAAAGCGTCTTTATCGCGAATTCGAGACGCGCGTGCCAATTATGTTTGTTTGTTTATCTTTTTCCTTGCAATGTTTTTTTTTTTTTTTTTTTTTTTTTTNCGACAAGAAATTAATTTCAGAATCGCTTGGTCGCAATTCTATCGTCGAGTCGGATCGTGTTGCGTTTGGAGAAACCGCAACTCAAAACGCGATAGTTTATCTTATTTTAGTTGGTGCGGCATTTTCTGTGTTTGAGCCTCTTTATTTTTTTTTTTTTTTTAAACTATAAACAAAATTACCAATAATATGCCAATTATGTTTGTTTGTTTATCTTTTTCCTTGCAATGTTTTTTTTTTTTTTTTTTTTTTTTTTGCTTTTTATCAATAGTTTTCGATATGTGTCAAGAGGTTTTATTGTAGTGCGGTGATAAACAAAGTTGAAAAAAATTCACGATGGATAAGCAAGTCAAACACCTGTGCTCTCGCGATATGACTCGAAGGAAAACGAAGTTGTTCGGCTTCTAACTGACAATCTACTGGAAAGGTAGTTGCAATTTATTTGAGCTATAATAGTATCTCGACGGTCTCGACCGATCATAGAGAAATAATGTATTTGCTTTATGAAGTAATATAAATTAGCGCCACCAACAGTAAATAATATATAAATATCCATTTTCCCACTGGATTTGTCACGGAAGATGCTTATTATTCCCCATTTTAAATTTAATAATTTTAGTAAAAAAAAAAAAAAAAAGTTTTGCTCACTGATCAAAGACATCCTAATGTGTGCAGTTGTTAGATCACGATACAAAATATACTCGTGAAATAGTATCACCGTTATTATCCCGACGCGCAAGTGTGGAATCAAAATATCGGCGGAAAATTATTACAAATCAAAGATGTATCGTGATATTGAGATAAAAAATAAATAAACAAATAAATAAAGCTTCTTTGATCAGCGCAACTACCGATCGCCTTGGAGATATATCGCTAGGATGCAGTGTTCCACGGTACTCTTGACATTTTGACTTTTCGTTATCGCTTTTGCACATACATATACGAGACACGGAAAAATCGATCATTTACGCGTAGACACGATACAGATTTACACGAAACTAAGTTTACCAAATGGCAAATGCATATCTAACTAGACAATATCTTTGCTTCTCGATGTGAAAGAAAAGAAAAACTGTGATAACGTGCACGTGCGATGCGTTCTTACGCGACAATGATTGGTAATGACAATAACTTTATGGTGCATCAACAGCACACACTGTAATGACATACCACACGCGTATATAAATATATGATGTACGTATTTGGTAAGTTTGAGTTTGAAAAACACGTTGATTTAGAATAAACGGCCGTAACGACAGACAGCGCTGAATTATTCATGTAAAAACGAACGATGACAATTAAAACTCTATATAGAGCGTGTTACAAATGGCTCGTGCGAAAGCTATGAAGCTCCAGTATATTATAATGGAAATCAAAAACACTTTGCGTTATCCGCGCATCATTGTCGCGAGCATCAATTTTGGTTGAAAAAAATTATCCAATTTCGTGACATTCCACACACGGTGGCGCTCGAACAATTAACAAGCGCATTGTATACTAAGCGAGACCCCCTGCCCAACGACCAACCACGAACAAGTATATACTTATCATAGGTAATGATAATTATTTGAAATTTGTTTGCTCAATGCTCGTACCGATGGATACACATGTATTTATAACGAATTAGCATACAAGCAGGCTGTGACTAACCAGCGCTTGCACCCCCTCGTGCACTCGCTCCCCTGCAGCCCCACGCCGAGACGAGGTATCCCTCCCGATCGCAGGTAAACCGACGAAGCGCGAAAAATGTACGGCACATCACCACTTCCCTCCCCCCCCCCACGACACGTTGAAATTCGCACATAAAACACGCGCTAAAGCGTCTAACGCATTATTTGCACGCTTACATACGTACACGCGTCTTCGGCCGAACGATAAAACTACAAAGCCACGAGTTGATAGTATATTAACTGCAGCATTGGCGCGCGCATCGCCGAAGGGTCAAAGTCAAGAAAACTCGGTGGTGCTGCGAGCTTGCGAGCACATCGGAGCTTGGCGCTCAGTACGTTAGAAGCTGCAGCTTCGCGAACACTTGCAAGTCTACCTCATTATACGACAATCATCGTGCACGTGTCCTTTTTTTCTTATGGTTTTTGAGTTGTTTCCGTCGGTCCAAACGTCAAGGTTCGCGTCAGGGAGGACCAGCGGCTTTTGCTTCGGAAACGATTTTTACTGCGCGACCGTAAGTATTATATGTATATGTCGATACAGGCGAGCAGGGAAAGCTTATAGTGGATAATCGTATATAGAGACGCTTTGGATTTTGCGGTTCAATATTAGGTACACGTGCAACATTCAATGAGATTCGTCAAAAATAATATTTCACGTGCCTTGGACTTTGAGGGCTTGTGCGTGCCGATGAGTCGCGACAAAACGCGATTGTCACGATGTCTCGGCGAACGGGACCCGGAAATAAATAACTGTGCTCGCGACAAATTGCACATTAGGCCCGATGTAATTTGTCTTTATTACCGGTTTGTTGTTTGGAAAATTTGCAGTGGTCACTTGTGACTCATAGGTCGTTTGGCAATTTTCGTAAGCATACCATCATTATTTCGCGCAACGAGGTTGTGTCGTTGCAGCTGTTTTCGATCGGAATCCACTGCATAGGCACGTTTGATATTTTTGTTTCTTTTTGTTTCTTTTTTCCCGCGTGGGCTTGCGCTTTCATAAATACGTGGCTCGTTCGTGTCGAAAGCTCGATCATCCGCGGTACTTGCAGCGACGCGCAGATGGCTAATTTATCGAATAGTCGCGTGTCAGCGAATCCGCAACATTTTTTATTTGTAAATTACGTGTTCGTCACTGAAAATTTCATTTTTCCGTAAAGTCATACTTGTAAAAGAGAGAAGAAAGAGCGACGTTACAATCATTGCAAAACCACGTAAGTACAAGTGTTTTTTTTTTTTTTTTTTTTCAATCAACTGCAGCGTGCATGAATAATTGAGAATTCGATTCTTTCAGCACGACAAGAAATTAATTTCAGAATCGCTTGGTCGCAATTCTATCGTCGAGTCGGATCGTGTTGCGTTTGGAGAAACCGCAACTCAAAACGCGATAGTTTATCTTATTTTAGTTGGTGCGGCATTTTCTGTGTTTGAGCCTCTTTATTTTTTTTTTTTTTTTCAACTAATAAACAAAATTACCAATAATACACCATTTTTTGTATAGTTACAGAATTGATGGTTGAGTGAATTTTGTAAAACACAACTTGTACAAAAATAATAAACTGGACCTTAATTGATCTTCTGGTGTGGTTTTAAGCGAGTATTTTAAAGACAACTAAAAAAGTTATTTTGGCATTTGAAGTGCCTCTTATATGTATTTGTTTTTTTGTAATGTGTGCTCTAATACGATTACATAAAGGTACACTTTGTGGGGAAGAAAAAAAATTGTTTGGATTCCCATAAATTCACTTTCACTGCTTGTATAAGTAAGAGTGAACGGTATTTTATAATAATCATACAATCACGGGCGATGAGTAAAAGTTCAATCACCGTTGCATCCATTTGAGTATCCTAATTTTTTTTTTTTTTTTTTCCTGTAACCATCACACCAATCATCTCTAACCATATAATGAATGGTTATTTTTTTCAACTGCAATTCGACGTGCAGTGCACACCAGCGCTCTATATTGCGTCGATTGCGCCGATATCAAGCGAGCGACTGTTCGCCAGTTATTAAGCCTATATAAGTATGTATAAAGTACCAGCGACAATTTGCATGCAGTTACGGCGGCTTTAACAAGCCTTGCACCTAAATTTCTCCCGCACACGCAGTTAAGTAGGTGTAACACGATGAAACATACAAGCGCGACTGCAAACATTTCGTTGTTTTTTTTTTGTTTTTTTTTTCACGTTAAGTATATAGTTAACAATTTTACGACTATCTGTGATAAGCTGTAACTACTTTTTTCGTTTTTCGGTCAAACTAGTTTATATGCAGTAGAAGACTTGTCATACTTTTTTAAAAGAAATTGAAAATCAGTCACGGTATGGGTTGGTCTTTTCATCAAAATTATTCATTGGGAGCAATATTATTCAAAAATTTACCTGGAGGAGCAAATATAATGAACAATTACGTATAAAACGTAAAATTAAACAGGGTCAGTTCTTGCAAAATGTACTCACTTGCGTATACGTGTGGACAAATTGTCATAAATCACCTGTCGATTTTATACATCGTTGGGAATTTTTTTTATCTAATATACAAGACGATTTTGCACTTTTGAACCGATCATTGTAGGTCAGCGGTTCCGGTATACGTTTGCTTGTAGGCAGAAAACGTAAAAAATATATCTCCAACGATAGTTGAATTATTAACTAGCGATTCATGATGCACGTCAATAGTAACTTAAAAAAAGAAACTAAAATCACGCATTTAATTAATTTAGTATACTATTTCTTGTACAATGAGAATCAAAGATTTCCGTGTACGTGTATGGCTCTTTGAGATATTTAGTGATAAAATTCTACTAATATGATTTTGTGCAAGTAAAAAAAAAAATGTACACCTTGAGATACACAATACATATCGTTTCAACTAATGAGTTCAACAAGCAATAGGCGTCTCCTCGATGCCACTGTAAATATTAGCAATGGCGTGTACATTGTGCATCGTCGCGAGTTTACTTGCAAGACGAGCAGAACCACCTTACTTTCGAGCGTGGCATAAACATACGTGCGTGCCGTGCATCGCAAGAAACTTACACGATTGTCGAGAAGCTTTAATGAGAAATTACAGTCAATTAATCATAATAAAGTTGCTGAATAGACCGTTGATATATAAGTATAGTGTGCAGTGTAGCTGCGGACGCGGAAGCCGATATATCCTTACGTAATTTTACGTGATGATGTTAAAAATTTTATTTTTACCTTCTTTCACGACTCGGGTTATCGCGGGAAACGAGATGACGGGAGCTAAACGCATCGATGACTCGCGAGCGGGATTTTTAAATTAGCCGAACCTGGTGAGCTTTTATTTTTTTTCTCTTGGAGTTGGCTTTTTTTTTTTTTTTTTTTTTTTAATCGATTTTCTATGGTAATGGATGCGTTTTTTCTTCTTTTCAGAATGGCCGCTGCGTTCTTGAACGAAATGTTTTACAATGTCCCCTTCGGCACCTAATTTTAGAATTTTCATGACCGCCGGTAAGTTGAGTTACTTACCAAGTCGCGACGGATGCTGGAAACTTTTTTTTTTTTTTTTTTTTCTTTCGTGAAAATCCATGAAGTTGACCGACTGTTATTTGAATGACGTGTTGGATATTGTACAACTGAATAAAAGTCTGCTATCTACTCGAACATTAAACACTAGAACTACAGCGTTTGCTATAGAAAAATAAAATCCATACGAAAATTTTACCAAACAAAAAAAAATAAAAAGATAAAATAATATTGTACATAGTGATCGTAGACAATTGTGTGTTATCAAACTTTAATATTGCTATAAAAAAAAAAACTGTGCTTTTACAATAGAATTCGCAAAGGTTTTCAGTATAGCATACGCGTAATCGGTAATTTTTCCCCTTTAATAAGCCTCGAGGTTTAACACACAATCGAAGCCAAACTTGCCGAGTTTTTTTCTTTTAACGATATCACGGTAATAATTCCCATGAGTGCTTAAGCGCGTGTTCGATCGTTTCACGATAATCTCATGCAAACCTACAGCATACCTATATAGTACCTCCCGAAAATCGGTCGGGTAGTTTAAAAATGACTGAATCCCCGCTGACACACTTTCATTAAACGAAAAAACGAACGAGTTGTAAATTTCATTCTCGCGTAGTCAATTGTGATCTCATTTTTAAAATCGTGTACACCTGCACACGAAGGACCGCGTGGCCAACGCATCGGTTCCGAAATAAACTTGGCACGTGAGAATTTTCTCGCGCAAGCCTATATACGTCGCTCGCGTCGAAGATAACTCGCACGTTTCGAGTTCTTTCAATTTAATTAGCTCACCATCGGCACACACCCCGGCAGATGCACCTTCACGTTGAGCCATACATAACGGCAAACCTTGCCGTAACACTGCAGAGGGCAATTTTTTTTCTTCGCAGAAAAAAAAAACAACAGCTAACTCAAATTTGGAATAAAGAAGCTATAGTGTACTAGGAAACAATTTAATTGAATTACCCTCAAAACGATTGATAAAACCAACCTATTCTTGAATTACTGTCCAACGCGTTAAAACAATGGAGCCGTTGCGGGACGGTCATTGCCGTTTTTTTTAGATCGTCGAGCGAAAAATGTTCGAGCCTCTACACGATTGATGTCGCTCGTAAATAAAATGGCACTTTGCCGCGATTGTGTTTTGGCTGCCATCCTCAGACCTCCAGGGGTTACTCGTACCAGTATAAAGTTCCTATGCAAGTATAGTCTTTCGGAGGGCTCGAAAAGTCCTACACGCACCGGCTACCAAAGAGCCACGTGACGCGCGCATATTTTATAATACAAGTTGACGCGCCAACGAGTACGGAAGTGCAATTCGAATGCTAAGCCAAGATAAGAGAGATCTCGCGAAATATCGCCTCGATATTGAATCACGCACCTGTTGTCGCGTACACGCGTATCACAAAACGATCTTTCCTGCAGCCGATCGACGGTTCCCCGTTCATCGAGGGGGGGGAGGACAGGTTTTTGTGTATCATCGCTCGATGCCCGTGTACTTGGTTTTTGTCCCCGTTGGCATTAGTTGCGCTACAATGATGGATGGGGGGGGGAGGAGGGAGGGAAGAAAAAAATTACGATCGCTATAGTAGGTAGTTTTGCGGGCGCGCTCAAGGCAAAAAAAACACTTGCAGCTCGTCGCGTTGTACCGGCCAAGGATTCGAGCCGTCAAATGAAACTGACGTGGATGCGCGCGCGCGGCAGGAAAAGCATCTGTGAAATATACATGATAATCCAAAAGCATCGTTGTTTTTGTCTTTGGGCAAGACAAAACGTGTATATAAGATACTACAATGTCCCGGATGGTTGTACGAGAGGAAAAAGAAGCCCGGGCTGGGTTTCAAATCACAATCGCACGAAGCTTTGCACGGTCAGGTACATGATGCTATGTTTTTGGTTTCGCTTGGCCGTAGAGAAATGCCAGAGTCGAACGGGCCGGTGCCTCTGCGTGACCTCGAGGCCCTGCTCCAGCAGACGATGGAGGGACCGGTGACGGTGGAGGTGACCGATTGGAAGCACCTCACGGATCCCGGGGAGAACTTTGGCAGCCTCATCCTGGCGGTAAATGCCAACGTCGTAGCGAGAAACGGCAAACAGGAGAAACACCACTTGGTTTGCAAAATGCCGCCAAAGTCCGAGTACCTTCTCGACCTCTTCAACAGTCCGATGGCTTTCAAAAAGGAGCTCTACTTTTACACCAAAATCGCCCCTGCTTTTCTCCAGCTCCAGGTACGTGGTGACATCAACACGCATTGTATAATTACATGTACGGCAACCTGCTGGTCACGTCGTATTTTATGTGTAACGGGCAGCTGAGCAGCGGTGGATTCAGCAAAAACGAGCTGGTCAACGAGCTCGTGCCGCGTTTCTACGGAGGCCGCATGAGCCTCGATGGTGGCACGGATGCCGGCAGGTTCGACTCCCAGGCGGCCATAGTCCTCGAGAATCTTAACTACGCGGGCTACGCGACCCAGGATCGCATAGCCGGTATGGACCTCCAGCACATGGAGTTTGGGGTACGCGAGTTGGCGAAGCTACACGCCATTACCTGTGGCTACAGGATCAAGAACCCGGTGGACTTTGAGAAAACCATAGCGCCAGGCTTGAAGCCCGCTCACAACGACACGGCCGGCAAATGCGTCGAGGAAATGGTGAGAAAGGCAGTCGACAATCTGAGGAAGATGGACGCGGCCAAGCCGCACTTGGAGCGAGTTTTGAGGACTCTCGAGAAGGCCAGTGAGGCGCCTACTCCGAAGATCGGTAAGTTGTGTGTTGAATGATTCAAACGTATATATACCCACGAACGATGAGTGTCGTTTATTGTTTGTTTGTTTTTTCAGAACGCTGGTGTACCTTTGTACATGGAGACTTTTGGGTGAATATTCGATTGCTAATTACAACCACATGATATGACCATTATTTTTTTATGCTTTTCTTTAGGTAAACAACATGATGTACCGTTATAGCAATAGCAACGGTAACAACAACAACAACAACAATGAGGATAATAAAATCCTCAGCCTGAAGATGGTGGACTTCCAACTGAGCGTCTGCGACTATGGCGTGAACGACCTGATATTCTTCCTTGTGTCGAGCGCCAAGAAGGATATCATCGACAACAACCTTGGCGACCTCGTGGACCTCTACTACGAAACCTTTGTGGGGAGTTTGCGCGCCCTTAAAGTGGACACGGTGGATTTCAGTCGGGAAGAATTCGATGGGCTGCTGAAGGAGTGCGCGCCCCTCAAATTTCCCCAGTGTATAATGATGGTGCAGGTGATCAAGGCGACGCGCGGCAGCGCTCCCGATGTCAACAGTATCAAAAACTCGGAGGCTTTTTTGAGCATCGGCAAGGGAAAAATCTACGAGGACAAGTTGCTCCACGTGCTCCAGACTTTCGTTAAGAATGACTGGCTGGTCGACTGAGCGAGAACCGATTGTTATTAAAACTTTTTGTTTCTCCATCCACGATTTGAAACAAAGAGTTGTTAATACGACTCTTAGAATTAATCGGCATCGGCAACGCATGACGGATTTTATGATTTTCAACTGTATTTATTCAATATGAAAGAATAACGAGCTTGGAAAAGCTGGGCCACCAATATTATTTTGCACAACGTTCATGTCTATTTATTAAATTTTAATGATTATTTATTAACGCATGTTAACGACGAGAGTAAGCATGCAGTATAATGATGAGTCTTGATGTGTAAACAGATTTTTCTAAGGAGTTTCGATCGATTCATTCCAAACGAAAGGCGTGTGTTGAAAAATTGAAATATTTTGTGATGATGTTGCAGGGAAATGTAAAATACTTACGAATATTTTGAAGCTACGTTATTGTGAATGAATTTTAATTTGTGTCTTCAAACGAATGAAAAAAAAAAAAAAAAACTTACTTCGAGTAGGTCGGCCACAGCATCGGGCAAATTAAACTCCCTGACAACGCGCAGTCGCAATTGTCTGTTGATTTCGTGACGCGACGACAGTGGCAAGCTAATGGCTCGTTGACAGCTCGGAGACTGCCTTAGCTTTTGCTCGCGTTTCAACATCGCTGCCATCGTTGCTGAATCTGGAACTATATAAGTATTTTCAATAAGAAAAATTTTTTTTTTACAAAAATATGTAAAAATGATAAACGAAGCACAAACTGAATTTGGAAAGATGTTTATTACCTGGAAGGGCAGCTGCTAAAACGTCCACTCCAGCGGCTCCCATGATTCGCGGTTTTTCGTCAACCATGTACAATGTATCGGGAATATCAGGAATGTAACGAGCTCTCCTCAACCTTACCAGTTCCGATTCTTGGACCATTTGTTCTTCGACTAGAGCCTGATTTTACAAAAATTTTTTTTTTTATTTTATGCACGAAAATAATTTCTCTTTTACTTGTTAAAAAAAAAAAAAAAAAAAATTTAATAAAGGTATTTGAAAAATGATACTTCTTACCTTCACTTCTTCATAATACGGCATGAAGAGACGAGGCCTGACAAACAATCCATTCTTCTTGCCACCCCTTATCCAAGCATTTATTCTTAAATTTTCCCTTTCGTCGCCTATCATGTGACTCGGTGGAACCGATACCAAGCCCCTCCTAATGGCTTGCGCGAGTGCTTCGTTGTTAGGTGGCAAAACGTGATCCATCCTAACAAGCGGCAGGAGTTCGCTGAGTATCTCCCGTAACTCGATGTCACTGAGATCCCGTTTTTTCACCCCTTTTTTCGCCACGGAGTGTACCGTGTGGCTCAACAGATTGGGTTCTCGGTCCTCCATGCGCCGCACGAGCTCTTGCTCCCCCCATTTGAGCACAGCCTGCAGCACCTCGAGCTCACTCGCTTGCAGAAAGTGACTTTGTAGGACGTCCGATAAGTGCGCGAGATCCAGCTGGTTCAGTATAGGGGACGTGGCTACCGGCTGGAATTCTTCTCTTAAGAAATGCAGCGCCTGCCGATGCACCCACGCCGAGCCATGTGGCTGGCTACCCCACCTGTAAAAACAAAGTTTTTAAATCATGAGCGCACAAAAAATTCATCTGTAAGCTCGACAATTAATTGTGCGAGTTGCCGTACCTCAGCACGTTCGGAAGAGAATCCAAAGTCAGCCATTCCAGTATGAGATCCTCACAGCCTTGGGACAATATGTCGAGCTCGAGAAACCGACCAATTTGATACAGCTCCATGGCTTCTTCCAAGGGACTTGGTCGCGCTCGGCCCGTGTGCGTCAACGCCTGAACCTTGAAAAGTAAAAATCGAGTATCGTACCGTACGAAGCACATGAATACGATCATACCTAAAAGTATTTTATTACCTCGCCAAGGCTACCAGCGCTGTTGGTGCAGCCCGTGCTGCGCAGTATGAGCGATAGATCGACGACATCGAGGTAGACGGCGTGCAGCAAAACGTGGGCGAACCTCTTTGGGATCACGGACTCGTCGAGGACGATACGCGTGGGTATGTGCAGGGCGCGCTCCGTCTGGTCCTCACCCGAGCGCGTGCGCCTCTGTATGAGGTTGCGAAAGAAGGGCGAGCGCGCCGACAGTATGGCCTTGTGACAAGGCAACTCGAGCTTGGGCCTGAAGCCGTACTCGCTGCTCCCACTATCCGGTCTGTGGTAATCGCTGTCCGACGTGAAGACGAGCGCGGCATCCGCGTAGGTGCCAGTCTCCAGCAGATAACGCAGATCCTGCTCGAGGGGGTTCGGACTGCCAAACTCGTCGGCGAGGAAGCGCAGCACCGCCGCGTCGGGGCCGCCCGGCTGCTCGTGACTCGGCCGGCAATCGCCCGAGTAAAAGTAACGCAGCAGCCCAATCAGCGTCGGCACGTCGATGTTGTGATGAGAAAGATCGAGGGCGACCTGGGCCCCGTAGCCCGGGTAGGCGGCGAGCAGGTCACGCAGGTAGGCACATCGCACCGAGAGGAGGGCCCTGTGAGCCGGGAAACAGGTGCCCCGGAATATGAGGTCGACGTCCGTGCAGTACTTGTACTCGTAGAGGCTCGCCAGGTCCTGCTTGTAGGTGGCTGCCGGTGGCCGGGCTAGTTCGGCTTGGACGTGCAGGTCCTTGAGCGCAGCGAGGGCCTCGTACTCCTCGAGCAGGGCACCCGCCTCGAGCGGGCTCCAGCCCGACACGAGCTCGCGTATGATGCGGCCGTGATCGCACGCCTTCGACGAGCGTCGCCGCCTGATGAACTTTTTTCGCAACGTCGCGAAGCCCGTAACGCGCTTTTTGCGCTCCCTGAAACGCATATCGCACCATATGCTTGACATACTATAAATATCTATGATTTAATGTCAGGAGGACTGTATGATGGTATATAGTACTGTATGTATACGTAACAACAATTGAAACTCGTGACATTAGATTTGTTTACGAGCGGGAAAAGAAAAAAAATTTAGCGCTTTAAAATTGGATAAAAACTTATTTTCAATTTTTCACTTTCATTTTTATCTCGTAGTTTATGAAATAATCAATGAATTTGTGAAAGCGTCTCAGAAACGTTATAAATACATACGTACGTTCCGATTGTAATGCATACATTCGATCAATGATTTACGTGAAGTTGGCCATTTTAGAATTGATATGGCATGAAGCATTAATTATTCGTGAACCCCTACCGTCTCTACGTAACGTCTAAAATCTATTATTACATTTATAATTTTATTCATTGGTAATTTATAATGAACTGGGACAACGACGAACGAATAGCTCCAAAAGCTAAAATACCAGAATTATTCAAGTTGGTCGACGAAAACGAAAAGTTGTTCATCAATGAGTTGAAAGAGGCTATATCAATACCATCCGTAATGAAAGATGAGAAGCATTTTAATGATATTTTAAAAATGGTAATGATTGAAAGTGGCACAAGTGATTGAATTTGTAACTCTGATTTCACCATTTTTTCGTAGATACATCTTTGCGCAGAAAAGTTAGAAACCGTGGGCGCAACAGTGGACATCATCGACGGAAATAGTACAAAGGGCACAAATTTGCCACCTGTTTTGTTTGCAAATCTAAGCTTAAACGATGAATACAAGACGATATGTGTTTATGGAAATATTGGTTGACCATCACTTTTCTACTAAAATTAAAAAAAAAAACTGATACATTTTTTTTCATAATCTCACTCAATTGCAGACACTATGTTGCCAGAAAATTCGTATGATAGTAAACGTTCACCTTTCGAGTTAATGGAAGAAAAGGGGAGACTATACGGCTGTGGCGTATCCGATAGTAAAGGTCCGCTCCTTTGCTGGCTCAATGCGCTCAAAATTTACAAGCTGACGAAGAATGAAATTCCAGTCAATATCAAATTCGTAATTGAAGGAACTTCCAAGCTTTACAGCGAAAGCTTATTCAACGCTATAACTAAAAAACGAGATTTTTTCAACAACGTGGAATACATTTGTTTGACTGTTGACAAAAAAGTAGATGAAAGGCCGTGTCTGAAGTACAGTTATCGCGGCATCTGTTATCTCACGCTATTGATAAGTTGCGGGGAAAAAAGAGTACACAGTGGCACTTACGGTGGAGCATTTAATCAGCCACTAATGGATGGGTTAAACATCATTGGTTCTCTTGTGGATAAACACGGCAAAGTAGCTGTTGACGAGGTAAGCCAGATAAAAAAAATTCGATACGAAAACGTTGTAATAGTTTCGAGATTACAAATAAACTTAAATTTACAGTTTTTAAATGATGTACGGGTCATTACAGCCAAAGATGAAAAACGATGTAAAAACGAATACTGTCCTATAGAATCTTTGAAGAAAACAAATGGCATTGCCAAGTTCAGCCACAAAGAGATACCATCTAGAGTACTTATGCATAAAACTTGTCTGCCAAGTATCACAGTGCATGCCTTTCATATAAAGTCGGCAGCAGCCGATAGAGACGACATCGCTTCAATCCCCAACAAGTGAGTATAATAAAAAGTTTAAAACATATTACATTTAAATAAGAGTTAACTGTACACTGAACTTTAAGAATCGAGGCAAAGTTTTCGGTTCGATTGGTACTAAATCAAAGTGTGGATCGAACTTTTGAGCAATTCAAGAGGTACATTGAAAAGCAATGGTACAAACTCAAGAGTGCTAATACATATATGTTGAGAATGAAATTGGGTTTTGATCCTTGGCAAGGAGATTCTTCGTCAGATCATTACAAAGCTGCAGCAGCAGCAATTGAGACGGTAAACTTTTTATTTGCTAAAAGTTAAAGATTACGAAATCTCATCTTGGATGGTTAAATTTATTTTCTAGACTTACAAGAAATCACCAATTTACGTGTCTGAAGGAAGTACAATGCCAGTAGTCTCAATATTTAATAATACTTGCTCTGCAAGTAATATCCTTGTTATGCCCTTAAGGTAATACATCAATAAATATCCGAGATATATTTATAATAATGTAAAGCTTAAAACATCTCATTCATTTTCAGTGGACATGACGATTGCCAACACGCGAATTCCGAATCTATTTCAGTTGACAACTACATTATGGGGGTGAAACTAGTTATAGCCTACATGTGTGAGATCCATGAATTGAGTTACCAATAAAAAGCAATAAATGATTTTTTCGTTGAATTAATGAGTTACCTGACAATGAAGCTCAAAGGATCAGAGTTGGCAGAGCCTGAGAGCCTGGCAGCCTGAACAGAATCTCCTCCGATGGGCGCAAGGCTCGAAGAGGCGGATCCCATTCTCTGTGTCATGCGTGAATTATTTCCCTGTCCTCTTCCAGTGAACCAGCAACCACCACTGTTGCTCTCTTCCTCTCCACCAGCTCCACTTTCCCCACTGCGATGCAGTGCACACGGGATTAGAGCCCGAAATATGTTCATTGCTTACCCAGACATCAGCCTAAAAATAATCATTAATTAGATTCCGTCATTTCTTAACAATTAGTCAAGTTAATTTAATTTATTCATTTGTTATAATTTTCAACAGTTTCAACTTGTATTAAATGATCTAGCCAGGGAGTACAACTATCCTGCTTGGAAGTTAATTAAAAAGCACTGTTGTGCTTTGCTGCTATGGATTAAGTTTATTGAATTAGAATTTTCTGATGATCAAACATAAAGGAGAATATGCATGCCATGGACGATAGATTAAAAAATGAAAGGAATAATTCTAATTATGAAAATAAAAACCTTGAGGGGCAAGATAGCTTATTAAGTAGACATGTCGTATTTTTTAAAGTTTATGTCAACAGTAGTAGGAATAATACATAATGAAGCAACCAAGCATAAAGATCCATTTGATTTCATAACACAGTTTGTAAACAATGTAAGTCACTAAGGAGGAGATGACTAGTGTAGGGAGAAGGACAACAGTAGTAGTACAGGGCTCGTATCGCGAAATTTGCACTTGTTGACCATGAAGTTTAAGCATCCTAACACTCATGACTATGACACTGACAAATTTCGCGACTTAAGAAAAAAGCACAAAAAAGTTATTTCGAAGCTAACTACCGTTATAGCAATTAATATTAGCTGGGCCCAAAAATTTTTTCAAGGCAAAGTATCATCAGCAGTAAGTATATGTACAGGAGGATGAGTGGAAGTAATTAATTATGGGTAAAAGGAAGGAAAAAAATAGGTACGATGTGCTTGTATATTTTTGTATTGGAGCTACGCGTAGTACCCATCCGTCAGCTGGCACCAGCTGTTGTCTGTCGTTTTTGTCGCCTTCTCTGCATCATCGTCAGTAGAGTTAGCTGCAACTGGCCAAGCTCGGATCTCATGCTTGAATCCACAATTCCTCGCGACCCTATCATTGTTGTTCCTCATAATATTAGATGTTTGAACAAAGTTTTTCTGGAGCACTGCACGTTACACAGCACTGTAGGTATATAAGGTATATATCACTGTACGCACTGTACAGAGAACTGCATGAAAATGAGGGCTGTTGATGATACTAAACAGTGTATAGGTAAGAAACAATTGAGTAGGATGGTACAGTTGCTGGATGGTGATACTTGGATGATAGCATGACGATCAAAAACGCAGAATCGACCTAAAACAGTAGAGATGGCGAGAGAGATGGAAAGAGAGTGAGAAAAAGCTACACGGGGGAGGAGACGGTGTGCGCTTGCTACTAGGGCGAGTATATCGTGCTTCAATATACGTATAATTCCCTCCGCACCGCAACCGTAGCTGGTCGAGGAGGAGTCGCGTGTATAGGTATAGGTGGTGTGTACTGTATAATTGTGGCACGGGCGCGCGCACGACAACAGAAAATAGAAATGAGACAAACATGATGGGCTATATAAATATAAGTTGTTATTATTTATCCTGATGTTTAAACTTTGGAAAAACGGTATGAGAGCTCGCTTTTACCATTACCTGGGCCTTTACTCCTCATGTTATCGCTATATCTCCACAACTCCAAACGACGCTCATTACGTCCCCTGGTCCTTTCCTGACAACAACATCGTCGTCGTCGTCGGCTGCTGCTGCTGTGATTGATGATGATAAACTTCCTCGAGCTCAACGTGCGACGAAAAACCAGCGTCCATGTTTACATATCATGAACTCTTTGTGCTTTAGATAAAATTTAGTGTACACTAAATACTAGGGCACACACAGAACTGTAGAATAATCAGTTATACTTAATCGTGAATTGTAATGTTCCTGATTAAGTATATACACACATCGCGTTTATTTACAAGTAGGTACCACGCAAATACACCGTAAACAAAGAACACCACTTCACTTATGCACTACAGTGTAAAATACGGTCACCTTGTTTACACATGCACAATATTATACTAGTGTGTCATTGTGTGTTTATTTATGCGATAAGTATTATATTGAATATTGACGTTCCGATGCATCTTTTTCTCGGCTGCTGTACTTATTATCACTTCTCGCAATATTCGCTTTTCAATTGCTCAATTCTCTCAACATTTCAACATCAATATGTACTGTATAGTTTATGCATCATGATGTTGTCAACTCACCAAAAGTCACCAACCTACCATCATAAGATAACACATGGATGCTGTATCGCCGATAATGACGACGATCTACAATACCGAATACCGATAAGTTTAAACTCAGACCGCTGATGGCGCTGAGTAGCTCTGAGCTATTTTGCAAGACTTGCAGTTGACGGTTGTCGCAGCTCGCCTCAATGCTCAGACCCGGACATTGTTTTGTGTGTGTATCAACCACTCAATAACATACATAATATGATTTTCAAGCATCACTGCCAAAAAAAAACTTACAATTAAAATCCTTTTATTTAATCGTAGGGCTTGTGTGCAACTGAGAATCTCTCAAATTATTAATTATACTTATGCACATTTATTCCAACATATCTTTCGTACCAAATAATCCGAGTATTTGGAAACACTTCGAAGTATTCAAGTTTTCAAGGTGGATTTTAATTTAAGTAAGTATGAGAGTATGTGCATATTTCACTTAGTTCCCGACAAATATTAAAAAATTCGATTAAATATAATATTACAACGAAATGATGATATGTACATAATATATAATATTATCTTTACTTAACAATGATCTTAACTTTTTTTACTACATTCAGCAAAAAAAAACATTTTTTAAGAAATCCACCACTTCTTTTAACTTTTCGACTTCGAGTGAGAATAATATAATACATTTTCTTATTTATTTGTGTATTTATGTATTGGAAATTCCCAGACAATGATCCCAATCGTATATCATAATAAAAAAAGTAGTGGAGGGACAGCTGAGACGCAAGTAAAATATGATGTATACAATTAAGAAAAAATCCGAAATGAGTAATGCAACACCATTGAACAATAATTTCATTAAGAAAATTTAATGTAACATATTTCTATAATGAAATAAAGAAAAAATATGGTAATAAATAAAAAAGATTTGTAAAATTGTCGCATCAATGTATAAGGCGTATAATTTTTCATGGATACATAATATATTGTATGTTCACAAAAAGAGAGAGTTTTTAAATGTTTGTCGTTGACTTTGAAAAATATATTTCGATTAATATACAAACATGTTTAGTGTGTTATCAAAGAATATGAAAACCACTCGATTTGATAAAAATACATGAAAAATATTCCATTGTGATACCTATATAGGTATATCATATAAATGAGCTAGAGGACATAAATATAATAATTACATATTTATATGCAGGTTTGATCGCCGAAAACATCTTTATACTTAATCGAAGATAAGGATTAATATTATTTACTACGCCATACGGGAGGAGTCCAGCGAGGATGCATTATTTTAATAAAATGCACTCCTAGTTGATATTATTTCAGGGCCCCAGTCTTACATGTACAAGTGATCAGAAGCACATTTTGATACGGTAAATGATTTTCCGATTGGATACAAATTAACAAAATAGGTAATTGAACCATGAGTATTATTACTTTAGGACAATACCTGCTTACTCTGTCATTGTGTATATGTGTTTGTGTGACACAATAAACAATAATATATAGTAATATATACACGTGCATCGTATAATAAATTTGTGTGTATGTATTCTCGGTGTATAAATGTATATTTTGTAAATCATAAGTGTATTTGTACATGTATATAAATAATATATATAGAGTGTGAAAAATGGAGTGAGTGGTTGATGGTGGAATCAGAAGATTAAACGTATCTCTAATGGAATAGAAGTAACGTAAATCTTACTCGACGTAATATATTTAGTTGTACGTGCATGCATACGCGATGGTTGTAGGTACGATTTTTTTAGTACAAGACTGCCCACTGTTCAGATAAAGACGACACATCATAAACTTGTTAATCATAGCTATATAGGTATATATATATATAAAACTATTGGTGTGACTACATTTCCAATGCTATAGCTACTACTACTGTTATTCCTCCTGCAATTACAATTGACGGTGTACGTATACGTTATGGGTGTATAATTGTAAATAATTTTAAAGTTGAAGTACAGTGCATGAGCTACTGTATGTTTCATGATATTACAAATATAACGGAATAATCGTCAATACACGTCTTATATTGTGGAGTAATTGTAGCTAGTATTAAATATTGCAGTAATAGTAATGCGTACACGTATCAAACGCATATCTATAAGTATATGAAATTACCATTTACCAATCTTAACATACGAATGTATTTTCTCTCGTTGTATGTATATGTAAATTAACAGTTGTGTGAAACTGTGAAGTGTATGAGTACGTAGACCACATTCTCACTTTACACATTATAGATGAGAGAGAAAACCCACTCCCACCAACCCTGCAGCAGCAGCCAGCAGCACCTAGCTCTTTCGTAAGTGTGCTTATTATTATTAATCGTTTATTATGTTGCTTTTCAATTTGTCGCTTCTTGTTTGCGGCTAACAATTTTTGATATTTTTCATTAGTACAACATATCTTTGTCTTTCTTGAAGTTCTATAGTACTTGATTCGGTGACTTTGACAGGCAGATTAACAGAATGTTATTCATATGACTCACATATATTGACCATAATTAAACACATAACGCTTATTTGCCACTATTTGATCCACTGTTACAAGTGCTTATAATGCTTTATTGATGTATAGGTACACCAACGACAGTTATACTCATCCACGTTCTAATCAATTGAGCTAAGAAGTAAAGGTAATATTAATGACCTAATGAATTCTCCTTAATGTCTAAAACGACTTCTACTATGTTTTTTTTTCTTGTTTGATTTCATAGATGTTTGGTTCAGTGCAAATAAAGCAAGAGTATAACAATATTGAAGATAAAAACAACCAAAATGTACGTAATGAGCCAACAAGTATTAACTACTCCGTCTTTAACAATCAGAATATTGAATATGCGTATTGGAACCAAGCTCTACAGGCTCAGAGTAATCATCATCATCATGTTAAAGAATTCTATCATAGAAATGATGGAACCTTTCAGCAAGATGTATCCAGGGTGAATGTAAGTAACATGTACATAAGTATCACAATGTTAAAATAATTGTATTTATTTACTCTTGGACATCAATCCAAATGCTACTTAATCTTTTTTATTCTATAACCGTGGTTCGCTTCATGTGTTCTTTTTAAAATTATAGCAAACTTTACCCTTTCTTCGTTCCAACTACATAAATCAATACCTAGAGCAGCAGCAGCAGCAACAACAACATCAACAACTGCAACTACAGCAGCTGCAACAATTACATCAACAGCAGCAACAACAGCAGCAGCAGCAACAACAGCAGCAGCAGCAGCAGCAGGAACAGCCTCAGCAGCAGCAGCCACAACAACAACAACAACAACAACAACAACAACAAATGCCACATTCTTTTGTTGCGGCTTCAAATGATGAACAGACTGGGAGTGAATTGTCTCCAACTAATCAAACCAGTGATTTGAGTATAAAAAACAAACTTGTAGGAGTCAAAGATCCATCTGTTCATAATAACAATGCTATGATTAATCCTATGTCACTGACAACAGCCGTCGCTAAAAGTAGCGATGTTTATAAGCCTGCAAAATCGTCAAACGATGGTAGTTCAGGAAAAAAAGTAAAATGTCAGTGTGAAATATGTTTTAAAGAATTTAATCACAAAAGTAATCTTTTTATTCACATGAGGACTCACAATGGTGAAAGACCATACAAATGTAAGGAGTGTGAAAAGTGTTTCACTCATAGCGGAAATTTAGCTATTCATATGAGAATTCATTCTGGAGAACGACCATACGTTTGTCAAATATGTGGAAAAATGTTTAGTCACAGCGGAAATTTGTCAACTCACTTAAGAACACATTCTGGTGTTAAACCATATAAATGTAATGTTTGTGCTAAAGAATTTCGTCACAGTGGAAATCTCTCGATTCATTCAAGAATTCATTCTGGTATTAGACCTTATCAGTGTAAAGTATGTGGCAAAGAATTTTATCATAGTGGAAATTTAACTACACACATGAAAAAACATCCAGTCATGGTTTCTCATAATGAAAATCAAAGAAAAAACAATGTTCCTCCTGGATTGGTAACAACCTTCAGTGGAAATAGTATTGATCAAATGAAGCAGACCAACACTGTTTCCACTTTCAATCCGGAAGATAATAATCTTTCTTTAGGGTTATCAGTTCCAAGTCATGTACCCAATTCAGAAGATGTAGGTGAGAGTAGTAGTAAAACTATAGAGGAAAAAGAATTAAATAAGAAGTATGAAACAAGTTAATGGAATTAACTTATGCTATTATATTTACTAGCTAATGTTTGTTACTAGTTACTTATATGTACATAATTTTTCATATACACTTTAAAATATGCAAAAACAACTTAGAAAAACTTTTTTTTTTTCTATTACTTTATCTACAATTTTTTAGTATTGATGAAATTACTCTTTGTAAAGTTTGATTTATTAATAAAAGTATAATGCATTGAATTTTACTTTTTACAAAAAATTGTTTGAACAAGTAAAATTACATATGAATTGTTGTTTTATGGACAGTTGAATTATTTGCCTCAACTAATATGTCTTATACGGTATATAACTATAGGTATATACATCCAAACGTAAAATGTAATTTTAAAAAAATGTATTCGTAATGTATTTTTATCGCAAGGAGTTTAGATATAAAATATTTATAAGGAATGAAATTATAAATAAATGTCTACATATATTTTGACGTATAATTTTTAGTGTTTTAGTTGTAATTAATCAATTGCTGTTAACGTTCAAGCAACTTTATTAACTTTCATTAAAAGAAAGTTAATTTTCAAAACTAAAACAGGTTTTTACATTGTTAAATTTTATTTTACACTAAAAAAATCGTAATAAAATGATTATAAAAATTAATTTTTTGTAATGAATGCAGGTGTGAAGTTATGTATATGAAAAGTGAAACATCAAATAATAAAATAATTCAGTTTTTTTTATTCACATTTTATGAAGTTTATAAATGATGCATTTTTAAATATTTTTCAACAGATTAATTTTACACTTTGTACAAAATAAAAAAAGTCACAAGCTTCGTGACGAACAGGATAATGTACAATAGAATTTACAGAATATCTTTCACTTTGAAATAACTATATGTTAACTGGTAAGAAAATATTATAAGTATCTTGTGGATTATTTCACTTCATTACATCCAAAGACACGCAAAAACATGTACCTATACACTTTGTCTATTTATGTACAAATAATATACAGTAATGATTATCGAGCATAATCAATAATTCAATTCTGATCAGTATTATGAAAAAATAATATCATTTCATTATCATCAGAGTATTAAATAATATTTTGGGCGACTTCGTTGATACAATGGTATTGTTCTTGTTTTGAAATATATATAAAGTATTTATACAAAATATGAAATGATATTACTTTTTAATAAAAAATAATACTGTACGTCATAAGCAGCATACAATTTTTTTCCGTGCATCCATAGAATATGCATAGTGCGTTATTCTGTTTTAAAAAAATTTTTTTTTTATATCGTATCTGAAGGCTTGATGAATAAAGCTGTTAAAGCAAAAATCATGAATACAATTCCTCCAATTATTGTAACTAAAAAATCAAAAGGTTTATAAAATAAATGTTACTGCCACAGCAAATCATTACATTTGATTAAAATTGATTCCAACCTGTTCTCACTGATATCCTTTGAGCAATCATTCGACCTCCAAGTACAGCTAAACCAGTACAAAAAGAGTGACCCAAAATTCCACCTACTACAACGCCATAAATATCCTTAAAAGTATATAAATGTAATTATAAGATGTTCAAGTTTATAGTTCGTTATTTACATCTATGTAGGATGTTTATTAAAAGCATTGATAGGTAGTAACCTCTCTAGTAGCTAAAATAATTGTAGTAAGTTGAGATCTATCTCCCCATTCAGCAAGAAAAGTCAGTGAAAATGCTTGTAAAAATATCCTAGAAAGCATCATAAGAGCACTTGTATTTTTACTTTTTCGAATAACACCAGTTTCTGGATCTTGAACAAGAGTCATACTCGTTTCTTTCTCAAACTAAAAGATTGCTAAGAGTATAATATTATATTAAAAATTTACAATAAGTTTAATAAAATATTTAGTACTGACTTCATCTTCTCTTTTTCTAAGGTCAGATTGAACTTCCTCAAGTTCTTCTTGGCCTTCATTTGGTGACATATAGTACCCATCTCGTAACATTTTCAAGCCAAATAAAGCAAATAAGCCAGTGGATATGTAATAAGTATAAACTCGAGGAATGATGGTGACAGCATAGCCAAATACAACTGTAATGATAAAAAAAAATGGTTAGTACAAGTGTAACGAGAATGTGTTTAAATAAATTAATCAACATGAATGTAGATAATAAAGAAAATGGAAAAAAAATACCTGATAAAAGTGTCATTACTGCAAGAGCTCCGATAGCACCTGCAAATACTGTTAACCTAGGATGTCTCATGGCCATGATTGCAGCAATGAAAAACGTTTTATCCCCCAATTCAGAAACTACAATAACTGAAAGTGATGCTACAAATGCATGAATAAATCCTAAATTCTCCATTGAAGAATTCATTGGTGTGACATTGTCGAATTTCTGCAAGAACGTTAGTATATGGTTAATTTTAAGAAGCCTGAGGTATTACTTTAAAATCCTTTCGATGGTGATATTAAACAATTTACTGATTCTGAAGCTATCGACGATTGTGCTTGTAAGTCTGATGGCATTTTATCTCCTCGAGTTAAGTGCCACATTTGAATAAGTAACAGAGAAGATAAGAGAATTTTTTGAAGATCAATCATTATCACTATGGTATTTGTCCTGTGAGCGAACCTCACTATAATTTAAACGTAAAAATACTTGACAGGAGTAATTTTTCGTGACGATTATCACAGGTAATCAATAAAATCCTTTCAATAGTTAACAAAAAGTAAGTAAGTACTGCGTATATTTTATATCCGGAAATTTAATACGTGTTATCGTTCGTTCATAGGCAATTATTGTTGGCACTTGACACTATACGCTCTCAGTCTCTCACTACTCCATCATGCACTGAGACTGTACTTAATCTCTGACTGAGAAAGTGCAATCTTTAAGCGGCACCTCTTCGACACTCGGCTGACTCGGCTCCCACGGTACAGCTGTGTAAAGGTAGTGAGTGACGTCACCAAATATTACACCTATAGGTATAGTGTGTGGTACGCAATCAAAGGAATCAAGTGAATCGAAGACGTGTCGTGATACTCGTGATTGTCTTCGATTCATCGATGAAATATAGACCTCGAAGTTTTCGAATTATGCGCTTTGATATCATTGGCCTGACCTATCCTCCAATCGAAGTTCAATCTGGATTTTGCTATTCAATTTAGTCATGAAAACAATGATATTCGAACTAATTGTATTAATTTTATAAACATTACCTTTTATTAAACCATGTAAGTAGAATATCTATACTTTTGGAGGTCGATTTTCGGGTAAAAATAAATTGTATACTTGCCGCACATACCACAAACGATGTCAACTTTTTATCTTCTATCTTTTAGTTGTGGCTGGTTTATAATTAATTAAATAACTCTACTGGTAGGTAGTATTTTATAATAATAATTTGGATCAGCGCCATCTAGCGTTACGGATTTCTGAACTAAAAAGTGGCCCTAAAATTCCACTGTTCCGCTAAACTCAAAGTAAGTGAACAGACTGAACAGACTTATACCTCTTTTTCCATCAGGCAACAAAGCCTATGGTCGCAATTGCAACTATGTTGACTGACAGAGAACACAGTATAGGTCTGTTCAGTCTGTTCACTCAATTTGAGTTTAGCGGAACAGTGGAACCCCCTTTTCAATATGAACGTTCACAATGAAATAAGCAAAAAATTTCTATGTAAATTATTGTGAATAGCTCCTCTGAAGGAGAAGGAGAGCTTTAGGCAGTTTAGGCTCTAGAGCCATTGCGGCAAGTTTGCAATTTATCTTCTATCCGAACATCGACCTCCTATATATTTATACTTTCGGGTAAAAGATAAATTTTAGGCCGGCACGTTGTATTCCGCAAATGCTGCCTGCTGTTAGTTAAGTTACGTAGGTCGTTGTAACGCCGCATGGTCGGGCGGCGCTAGCGTCAACCTGTACTAATGTAAAATGTATCATCAATATCATCATGTATGCATCAACCACTGAACCACTATCAACAAAAACAATAAATCTCAAAAAGTTGTGCAGAACGAGGAGGTTAAACCTTCATAAATTTGTTTGTGTTTTTATTGAAACCAAAAATTACTTATAATACAAATATGGAAGAATTAAAAACATTAAATTGGTAAGTTTGCTAATTTAATTTACCAAAAACATTTTCTGTCAATGTATAAGTATATGAATAGATTAAAATGTTCCAATTAACGTAAACCACAAACTCTTTAGTAACTGTGTTCCTCATTGCATATTGCTTTACCTAGTATTTAAATCATCCATAAGTAAAGAGTTTCATCGTCTGAAGTATTTTTTTTGTAGTGTAGGTACTCTCTTGTTTTTATAAAAAATGAATGTATTTATATCAAGAAACTAAATATTATTTCAAATTTTCAAAAGAAAGACTTCCTAAGGTGTACAAATTCAAAATAATACTCTAACTCTAGATTTACTGTTATAATTTTTCTACTTTGGTGGTGATCGAGAAATATTTTGGGATTAATCTTTTAATCAACAGTTCCTTTTATCATTGTATTCATAATTTAAAAAATTTGCTGAGTACTTTGTGGATGCATGGAACTTTGTACAGTTGGTACAAGATCGACAATTGATCTTTATTATCTACTTATAGTGATAGATAGGAATAATAAAACTAAAGCATGTTCATTAAAATTTCAATAAACAACGTCTTTCAGGCAACCCGCCTTGGAAGATCTGATTGATAATGAATTTGTCAATGAAGAACACTTTCAAAATGAAAGTGCAACGTACAAAATGGTAAATGGAATCTTTTGTGATCCTTTTCAAGATATAAGACCATTTATTACCAAACAAGTTACCCAAAAGAAGCAAGGCCAACAATCTAATAAAGTTAATAATCAGCGGAAGACCAGAACGAAAAGGAAAAAAAATGTTAATACTCAAGTCAAAATCTAACTCCTACTTGGTGAACAAACTGTATTCTTAATATTGTAATAATATTATCTACTCTTTTATATTGTAAGCTACATTATTATTGATAAGATGTAAATATTATTATAATAATAAGGTAAAACTGCGTTTTCATTAAATTGATGAAAAATGTTACTTGTACTTTCAGCTAGTTTTTCTAATAAAAGTAATATAAAAAATGTGATACTTTTTTTCGTACACAATTTGCAAAATACTAAAATGCTTAGATTTGTCAAGGTATATATATATAATTTCTTTTTTTTTTTATATTATAGTGTAGTGACCTCATTTAAGGTATTTACATTTATATACATATATATAATTATAAGTATCACTAATAGCTGCAGTAATTCTTTAAAAATGTGAGCCGTGCGTTAGTGACAGTAAGACAGTGTGGTGCCAGGTACTCAGACCGCCACGTTCTTCAGATGGTCAACTGATCAGATCGAAATCCTGATGTACATTACAGGGACTGATATAAAAAATCAGGATCACGAGATCACCATTGCGAGTTAGAGAAAGTTATGAGTACATTTACGTAATTTGCCGTTGGAGTACAAATGAGATACAGAATCTCGTTGACGAGTAAAATTTTTGATCATGGTTTATGATGAAAAATGATGTGACGTCATGAAACACAACTTAGCGACAGGAAATACACAACGTAGAATATCGCCTTGGGAAAGTGAACGATCGAATACTTACTTATGTATATAGTTTAAATCGTAAATGTATGTATACATGAAATATCTTGATAAGCATTTTCAATGAGTTTTAAAATCAATTTAAAATAATTACCTACCTTTAATTGATATGAAACACTTAGAGAAAGAAATATGATGTATAGGTAATAGATTTTCAGGAAAAAAATAAGTCATATACTTTTTCAACAACTCGCACGTATTATATGTACCTAACACAAACAAAATCAGCTTGAAATAATGTTACATGAAGCTTATTGATAATTTTTTTTTTTTTTTTTTTTTTTTTTTTTTTTTTTTTTAATTTTTTTTAAAAGAAAACAAAAGGCTGAGTCATAATTTTAGCCACCAGTAGATCTGACAGTAAACTTTCACTTTAGACCTTGCGATTGTGGATAAGTATCCGACGTTGCGAGTTTTCGACAAAAATGTTTAAAAAACTTGATGTACCTCAAATTTTTCTTATAACAAATGCCAATATCTACAAATTTATTGAAAAATCTAAGATGATGATAACTTTTTATTAAAATGTTAATAAAACATAACTAAAAAAAACCTATACATTTATAAACAATCAGTTAGATAAATATGCCCGTATAAAATTTAAAAATAACTGTTGAACAAGGAAAATTAACATTGGGGAGCTATGAACAAAGAAAAAATTTTCCAATAATTATATATACATATACATATACAACAAACTGAATATGGGGGTGTATGGCATACATATAGTCTGTTAGATGCTGATGATGGCGTAGAAACGCTTACATACTGTACACAGCAATCATTCGTTTAGTATACTGGCTGTGGTTGAGCGCAGAACTTCAGCAGATGGACGCGTTTGTTTATAATAGTACGTAACTTTTGAAAAAAGAGAAATACAAAATTATAATTGTTCGATCGGAAACTGTACATCAATTTTACTCCACAGTAGCATATAGAAAAGAAAACGCTGAAGCAATTGCTTGTATCTGAAATAAGGATATGGGTGCGTTATTGATGATTCGATAAATTATTGCTTTGTAGTTACTGCTTATTTAAACAATGAATTCTCATTCGAGCCATAAGCATCTAACAAATTTATTTATGAAACAATTTTTAAAAAATCGCTTGGACCGACGGTATTGTTGATTTTGTTTAAATCACTTATCTATACTTGTACGTACCTTTTTATCGTCAATTTTTCATTGTTTATACATATACATATATACATTGATCGTTGCACAGAGAACAATGAATAATAACAACTATTTCAACAGAACGAGCTTAGGTACCGTTATTATGATTGTCCTTTGATTTTAGCTGATTCATCTCAACTATTGATTTTGCAAAGTAGATTTTTCTTTGTCATAATTTTTTTCTCAACTACTTAAAAGTCAATCTATTAAGACTAAATCGGTGAAAATGTTTGTTTGTCCATACTTATTGAATATTATCATATATATATATACGTGTTCATCAGGGCCTGTTGTTTCAATTTACAGAATTGTGATATTTTACATTAAGCAAGGATTGCGTGTGATATTTACTTATTAAAATGGAAAAAATACATCAAAGTGTTTTAAAGAAAATGGAACGCAGTATTGTCGATGATGTGGATGTTTATAACGGAATAATATCTCCACTTACGACAGAATACATCATAAAAGAAGAAGATTTGCGTTTTATCAAAAAAGGAAAAACGAAACAAGAAAGAGCCCAAATTTTATTGGACATACTGCCACAGTTTGTATATTATTTTTACAACTTATACATAATATATAGTGGGCATACTAAAAATTATTGTTATCGTTTTTTTATCGTAGACGTGGGCCTCTTGCTTTTGAAATTTTTCATCAATCATTGAGACATCAGTATTCGTGGTTGAGCGAAAAAATCGATGTATTATTAAATTCAGCAATAACTGGTGCTGTGCACAATGATGTGCATAACCTACAACCAGTTTCTCCATTAACGGTGACAAGAGAGAATATGGTGAGTTCTCAGACATGTATCTACATATAGTACCTTTTTATAATAAAATCATGGCATTGTCCTCTGTTATACACATGTATGTACAAATATTGCAATACTAAAGAATAAATACTTTTTGCTTTAACCATACGCTTGGATTGTTAATTGTAAGTTTTTAATTGTCATTTAAACCATACACTTTCTTACAATTATAAATAGCACCAAATTCAAATTCACGTATTACATGCTGGAATCACTTTACAGATCGAACAGTTGAAAAATGCGTTGTACATATTAAAACCAAACGGCTACGTTGTTCTTCACGGTATGAAAGGTTTTGGAAAATCATGCCTAACAGCTAGTACACTCAAAGATAAAGATCTCATAAGCAAACAATTCAATGTAAGATCCAACACTCTTTCTCATGTTACTTACTACTAAGTTCATACGAAAAACAAGTCATACGAAATTTTTTTTTCTCACTTTTGAATATTTTGGCACAAACTTATTGTGTGTAATAAATATGTATGTTTATTATAATTGTTTTACACAATAATAAACATAACAATGTAACTTAATTTTTTAGAATGAGGTTTATTGGATAAAATTCGGATACAAGCGCAATGTTAATGAAGAAATAGTTATTCAGTTGAATAATCTGTATCACCAGATAAAGCATTCGAATTCGTCGCTGAAAAACGTAAATTCAGAACCGTTAGAAAAAACACTGCGCGAAACAATAAGAAATCATTTTAGAGAGTCAACTCACAGGAACGCTTTATTAATATTGGATGACGTTGATGACAAACAAGTGGTCGACAAATTTAATTTTGATTGCAAGACCTTGGTCATAACTTCCGATATTTGCGTATTAAATAAAAGAAGCTGTACTGTAGTGAAGGTATTTGTTCATAATTTTTGAGGGAAAATTCATACTTTCGGGATTTTCGTAAACTTTTCTTTTTATTTTATTAGATGGACCACGGTTTTACAGAAAACGAGACATTAGGTTTATTTGCAAAAGTTCTCGATATTGACATTAAAGAATTACCCATGGAAGCCAAACTCATTCATGATGAATGCAAAGGAATGCCTTTGCTCATTGCTATGTTTGCTGCTCAGTTCGAAAATTTCAAACATGACATGAAACATCACAAGGGTAGATGGGAGTACTATTTGAATTGCCTTAAAACTAAGAACGCCAAAAATAAGTAAAATAATCTGTTTCAAATTAATTTTTTTTTTTTTTTTTTCTCTATAAAAATAATTGTAAAATACTTTAAAACTAATTAAATTAATCGTAGAGTTATCGAAGAATTCATGAAAATTCAGGAAGCAGCATTTGATATGTGCATCAACCAACTGGACAACGCATTGAAAGAGCGATATGAAAATCTCGCTATTTTTAGCGAAGACGTTAACATCATGCCCAAGGTATATATGAAAAAAATTCAATGCGATAAGAGTTTTAGATTTTGAATAGTTAAAAAATGATGGTTGCTTGTCGAACAGACTTTAGAAATTTTGTGGGACGAAGAACAATATTGCGTCGACGATCAAATGTTGGATTTTTGCCATAAATCGCTAGCCGCGAAAAAGTGGAACGACGATTTAAGGAGTTACATTTACGGAGTTCATGATCTTTTGTTGTGCCATCTTAGAAAAAAATTGACGCCAAGGCAGTTGCGCGACAAGCACAGGCTGTTCATTGAAAAGTGCCGAAATCGTTGCAACGGGGATTTGGCGAAGCTTCCCAACGACAATTACATTTTTTCTTACATCGGCCATCATCTCGAGCAAGCGGAAATGTTTGAAGAGTTCAACAAATTGTACATGAATTTTGATTTTTTGCAAACAAAAATCAATTACACCGGTTTGAGCGATTTGTTCATTGATTTAAAAAAATATCGCAAATACATAACGAAAAATGGAGACAAAGAAATAGAATCGAACCTCTCCGATCTCGAAAATTTTTTGGAAACCCGCGCAAATACGTTGGCGAAACATAGGCTGATGAAATGCCTGGATCTCGTGCAAATAGCTTTGGACTATTCGGGCGAAGGTTTCGTCATGAATACAGTGAAAAAATTAGCTCTATCCAATTCGTACTCTTTGTATTTGTTTCATCAACGGAACACCATTACGAATCCCTATTCAAATTTTTGCGAAGAAGTAACTACAGATGCTAGTTCAGTAGCATTTACAAATACACCGAGTCACTTGTTAGTTGGAGGCCACGATGGCACGATACTTTTGTGGGACTGTGAAAATCGCCAGGGCAAAGTTTTTTCTGGACACGAAAAATGTGCCATCAAAAAAATCATCGTCTCTTGGTCTGGTAATTATTTCTTGGCCTTGAGTGACAGTGGCGTCTTGAAATTGTTCGCTCTGTCCGACGCCGATTGTGAAAGCGATAGATTTAGCATACCTGCCCAAAGTCCGCGTTATAAGCAAACTTATTGGACAAATATGTTTGAATACAAGCACGACAACAGCCTAAAAACATTCTTCGTCGAAGGTGAATTTATCACGGACATGAAATTCACCCAGAAAAGTGACGAAATTGTAGCCTGTACAAACGCCGGTACTGTGCAGGTAATTCTAACTATTTTCTGTATAATGCAAATATAATATTTTGTTTTTAAGTAATAATCTTTAGATAAATTATAAAGTGTGATATCCACCTTTAATCCAATACTGTACGTTAATTAATATTAAAAAATCTGTACGATTAATTATTATGATCAATGTAACTTATATTTTCAGGTAAATTACCAAGGAAACCCTTATTAAGAAATGAAATGTTTTAGGGTCCATTATCTTCTGGTATTTGTTGATATTTTGGTTCTCTTATTTACAATACATGTAGATTATTTATGTTTGTATTATTTTATTCTGTTATCTACGTGAGGTTGTAAATAGTATAATTTTTTACTTGAAGTATGAAGTTTTATGACAGTGATAAATGTATGATTATCCTTATCCTATTATCTAAATGTATTATGTAAAATTAGTTTTGAGACCATGTTTTGGGTAAGAATATGCAATACATAACAGCAAGAACAATTTGTTTCAGTTTTTTTTATTGTTCATTCAATAGTTACAGTATGTTGATTTTTTTAAGAAATATGCTGGTGTTTCACTTGTCAGTATAAACATGTAATGTGAAAGCTATTTTTATTTTTAGATCTTTGTTAACCCGGGAAACTTTGCTATTTTTACTATCACGCTGTTGCCATTGTCCATTCACAAATCTAATGAAAGAAATATAGTGACATTGTCCATTTACAATAAATGCTGGTATATGCTCAATTATTCCAGTTAAAACAAAATATTTATTACAAAACTTGATTTGATCTTGAATACTATTAATATTTATTATATCATGTTCAGGCCGAAGTGATATAGCTAAATATTTTGTCACTGTGTGTGACATTCATCAAACGCTTTCAAATGTGTATGTTTCACAAACTTTTTCGTAGTTAAGACCTAAGATTNCGTCACGAAGTAATCAAACGTATTTATTATCGATGTGTAAGGCTCAAGTAGGTGTATAGTAATTGTGGTAAAATCGGTGATCGGTAATTCACGTTATATATTGTAACGTGCAAGTGGCGGTGGGCCATTGCGGCTATATGTGCTGCGCCTCACTAGGATTTTCATTTCAGCCGAGAATCACGATATAATACGAAAGCGAAAGAGAAAAGTAAGTTAACCTGCTTTTATTAGTTAAAATTATTCGTTTTTTAAATTAAAATATGGAAATAATTTTTTTTTTTCTAGTCATTATTTTGGGGGCGTGTGTATTACTTCAGGTGATAATTTAATACACGTAATGGACGAGACTATTTCTGTGATTAGGATATATAAAAAAAATTCGGACCACAATTACGTGTACGTTTCTCAATACAATTTGCAACTGCATCATCCAAAAGTTGTGTATTTTTCGAAACATCCAGTCGAGGATAATTGCTTGATAATCGTCACGGATAGGGTAGCTCTGTACTTCAAATGGTTTTATAATAACAACGATGAGCACATTCACAGTTACGAAAAATACACGAAAACTGAAGAAAAGGACAAAAACACGAGTTACGTTGCTGCAACTTTAACGTACGACGCGAGATATCTAATTATCGGTAACTCCAACGGGATAATAAGTGTGATGAAAGCATTTAATCCAGACAATCTCATAACTTATTTCAAAGGCAATGTCACTTCGCTGGATTCATACTGGATGAATTACGAAAACTTTCACTTGGTTAATATTAATATTTTTTTTTTTTTTTTTTTCAACCAAATATAAATATATACACGTATTAAAAATTTTTTTTGTTGCAGATCTGCGGTAGCGAGAAAAGATGGATTCACAGATGGAAGGTTCGAGCTGACGAGCAGCCAAAATCGGTGAAAAAAATTCTGTTTGACGCTAAAATGGGAGCTTCGGACGAAAAGGATGTCATTGTACTGAAAACTGCCCAAAATGTGATAACACTGTTCAACGAGAAAAAGACGTCCAAAATTGAATCGCACCATGGCAAAATTGTTAGCATTAAACTTGACGATGAGGCTGAAAAATTAATTTACTCTACGGAATCTGGTTCTGTGATTTTGTATGATATAAAAAATGAAGAATCGACTCTTCTATCCAAGCTCATGTCAGTTGATGGTTTTATTGACGTGCTGAAAATAAGTGATCATTTTCTAGTATTATCAAACGGGGAAAATAATCATTTAACCGTACGTTATAATTTGTTTCATATGATTTATTAATTTATTTATTTAAAATAATATCTCATTTCGGAATTGATAAAATAATAACACATTTTTCAAAGGTATCGAGAAACGTCAAAATATCAAACTCGATCGAAGGTGCGGATCATGTGATTTGCTTTTACAAATTAAATGATAATAATATTTTAACGGTATCCAAAAACGGAACGATCAAATATTGGCTGATCGAAGACTTTGAGTGGCAGGAAATTTGTGAATTTAGAAATCATAATTGTGCAATAATTCATGGTTGTTTGAGTAATTACAAGTATTACTTGGCTCTGCTAACGGAGGACCAGAATGTGATGGTTTACAAATTATCGGACGCCGACGAAGCCTACGAATTTAAGATAGAAAGTTATTTGAAATATTGTTACAAGCAACAATTGCGTATCTGTGATTTTTCCAAGGACGAGAAGTACTTGGCTGTCGCGCTCGACGACGGGATAGTATCCGTAAGTACCTACATGCAACCACGATGCGAAACAAAAAGTGCCGATTCTTATAATTTAATCAACAACTTCCGCAGGTGATCGAACTCGATACGTCCTCGGAGCTGGGTAAGTTGTCCCTGCACTGTAGTGGCGTTTGCCAGCTGTTCTGGTCGCCCGTGTCGATCAGCGCGCCGATTCTTTTGTCCGTGAGTAGCGACGAGTTGGCTTGGTGGAACGTGGCTTACCTCAAGAGTCCCGTGGATGAAAGCAAAAATCGGCGCAGCCGCATGGGAATGAATTTCAGTAGGAGCGCGAGTAGCCTGGCCGTGGGTGCCGCGAGTCCCAGGTCGAGCTGCAGGATACCGAGCAGTCGGAGCGCGGAAATGACGTCACTTGGACTGACTTTGGCTTCGGCTCCCGACTCGGACGATTACTGGAGCCGGAAACTGCCCAAGAGGTGCGGTGCACCGAGACCAGCGTTCCTTGGCTGCGTGCAATTGCCTTCGAGCTGCACCGGTAAAGTCACCATGTGCGTGTCGTCGAATTTTTCCCGGTTTCTCGTTGTCGACATTCACGGCGTTTTTCACGAACTTTTTACCGATTCATTGATCTATACTTAAGTTTTTTTGTCCTTCTTCCCACATGTGTTCTTTCAATCGCAAAGGCAAGCATTTATCTGTTTTTTTATTTTTTTTTATTTTCGGGCTTACAAATAAGCGCGAACGCGTTGAGGACTTTTTTTTTAGGTAATAATAAGATAGCGTTTAAATATTCATCCTTTTTTACGATGAAGGATTTCAATCAAAATTTATGAAAAAAGCTATGTACTGCTTACATATTTTGAGAACCTTTTGCGGTGACTTTTGCCATGTATACACTGTTTTTATACTTCTTTTTTTTTACAAACGTAGGAATCAATTTCAAATCGCGTTTTATGAAAAACATAATACGTGTTAGTAATTCGACGTTACAAATTTTCTACTGTTTTAAAATTTACTTTAATTACATGCATTTATATTTATAAGCTTGTTGAAAACGTATTCGTGATTGATAATACTTTTTTGCAAGAACAAAGTGCCTTACAAAAGGATATTATTTAAGAAGAGTTTTGACAATTTCGACAATCTTGTTATAAAATGTATTCTTCGTGGATACAAGATGATGTGATGCTCTGAAATCCAACATTTTTTACGTGATTAGCTGTAAAAATCAAATGGTTGTAATATTTGATGTATAGGCCATGAATTTCGTATTTTAGAATGTAACTTTTGTTACTACCGCATTTATACAAAATAAAGACTGACAGCATTTCAAGTGCAGTGAGTATTGAGCGAGTATATGTACAAAAAAAAGAGAGATTTAGCCATACCATTACTGTGAAATAAAATAAATTAGTAACTGTGAAAAATACAAGTGAAATTATTGTATAGCCTAAAACCTCAGTTCGATGTATTGTAATTAATCAAGCATTATTTATTGATTTGTTACAATTTTTAATATAATGCGTTGTTTATTTAATTTTGTAGAGCAGTTTTTCCTGCATATTAATCAAACTTTTTAATAAATAAATTGAAAATTATAGAAAATTTATATCGTGATTTTTCTTATGTTCCACATCAGAACCAAATAACGATCCGTATGGATATCCACCACGATTGAAATAAAAAAAAAAAAAATGTAACATGTACAGTTTATAGTAACAATAAAAAAAACTTTGTTGTAAGCTATACAAAATTAAGATTCGCGAACTTTTTATATCATTAAAAAAAAAAAAAATTACAATGAAATCAAGTAACCGGAAATCATCAACGATGATGTATGCATGCCTATAGCTTACGTATACATATTATGAAAGTACATTTAAAAACTTGAGCGTGTATTAATAGTTTGGGTCGCTCAGTGTTGAAGCCGTAAAAATAAATGCGCGACTTGGCATGTACCGACGGCACATCTGTTTTCAGGCTCTAGGTCATGTGGCAAGAACTACACACAGAAGGCCAATGTCAAACTTTTTGTCTGTTCTATTGGGGATGTAACCACCGTAGGCCCGTTTTTTTCCTTTAATTCTCCGTGTCGATGAAAAATACTTTCATTGGATTGCAGTGTGCACAGTATAGATAAATTATGCATCAGTTACATGGGAAATGATCGGTAGATGAATGTTGAACGATACAAATAATGATACTGATACCTATGTACTATATGTATACCACTACTTCCTCTTGGGCTAACATTTCTAACAAGGACACGTCACGAAGTAATCAAACGTATTTATTATCGATGTGTAAGGCTCAAGTAGGTGTATAGTAATTGTGGTAAAATCGGTGATCGGTAATTCACGTTATATATTGTAACGTGCAAGTGGCGGTGGGCCATTGCGGCTATATGTGCTGCGCCTCACTAGGATTTTCATTTCAGCCGAGAATCACGATATAATACGAAAGCGAAAGAGAGAAAGAGAGAGAGAGAGAGAGAGAGGAAGCATCTTCTTGACGAATAAGCGGAATAAGCTCAGTGGCAGCCTGGCAGGCAACGTAGCAACCGGTACACTTGACGTGTATGGTTTATTTTTTTTTTTTGCTTGCTAGTCTGCTGCTCCCTCGTTCAGGTACTGTTGTTCAATTAAATACTGTTCTTGCTTTTTAACTCAAGTTTAAGGAATAATAGCTGCTCCAATTACCAAGATTATTAAAAAAAAAAAGAAGGTGTAAAAGGTACATAATTTATCTCGTTGATAAATCGATAGCACTTGCACGTACAATGTCATTCAAGTAATTTTAAGTAATAGCAGTGATTTTTATTTGATCAGCAGTCATAACAACAGTTTACCATGTCTTCGGTTGTCTACAAAAATTCCATGAAAGCTATTGGCAAATTTGTTCCCGAGAGCCTGCAGCCACTGTGGAAACACCCAGCAGGTCAGTTGGCTAATAAGTACGTTTTTTAACGCAAACGGAGACATGTACCAGGCACATGCACTTTACATATGCAACTACTTTGTGATGTGTAGGCAGTTGTATTGAGCAATTCTGGCTACTACACTTGGTTGCTTATTTTTCGCGACTCACTCTAATGCACGCGTTGTCGTTTATTTTTATAATTTCACTTCCTCCCGACGTCCGATAACTTCTCCAAATCATTATTTTATTTTTATATGATTGGACACACACGCGAAGACTTGCTCTATCATGTGAATAAATTAATATACATCAGCTGCCTTGAATATTTTTAAAGCTTTGTAGATCGGATTTAATTTTTTTGCGCACGTTTTGTTTAATTAGTTTTTTACCGCAACTATAACATTGATCTCTATTATAATTATTTTTACACCAATGAGTCATTTAATCAATGCCCAATTTTATTTCCAGGTCCACAAACAATTTTTTTCTGGGCTCCAGCATTCAAATGGGTAATTATTTTTTTTAAGCATTAATACCGAATGAAAAAATTGCGTCAATCTCAGCATAAACGTCTAACTTACTTTTTCAGGGTCTTGTTTTAGCTGGTTTAGGAGATCTCCAAAGACCAGCTGACAAAATTTCTGTCAGTCAATCGAGTGCTCTTGGCTTAACTGGAGCTATTTGGACTAGATACTCTCTTGCAATCACACCTAAAAATTGGAGTTTATTCAGTGTTAATCTTTTTGTTGCATTCACAGCTATTTATCAAGTAGCTAGAGCCATCAAGTAAGTTTATATCTACATGTGCTGTTGACATATTTGAAAACAAACTTATGTAAATTTAGTGTGTTGTTACTGTACTAAAAATACCAAATTATTTTTTAGTTATCAAAGACAACAAGCTAGTCAACAAAAAGCCTCAGCAGTACCGACTTAACAGCTAGAAAATTTTAATGGAACATTCCTGTGTTTAAACAGACTTTGGTCTGTTATGAACGAAATTAAATTATTTTGCCCAGATAACTATTATAATAATGTTATTTTGTGAAGTACAGTTGATCTGAAAAGAAATCGTTAGAGTAATCATACGAACATTTAACGAAATATGTAAAGAAACAAAATATTCTGTTAAGTTCCTCCATTAGAATATTTTTATAGAAAAAACGGGCAGGCCCTGACGAGATATTGTTTCTATTTTTGTTACAATATACTTACTGTTAACAATCCAATGGTTACACACATTACGATCAATCAAAATAAAATATTTATTCAACACAAAATATGAAAATATTATTTAAAATACGGGATTAACAGTTTGCCCCCCCCCCAACTTTCATATGACCTTTCACAGGATAACTGCTATTTTGGCAGGTGACTGTCAAATGGTTTGGGATTTTTTTCATCAATGTAAGATTTTTCTTTAAATGCATTAAAACACGTGTTCTTTATAATATTATATTTCTTACCTAGGGCGGAAAGTACAACTTGCGCGCCCGAAGGGCGCGGTTGTTGTATGTTTCTGCCCGTGGTGAGAACGACATTTTTTGTATCGAGGGCGGAAAGTGCAACTTTCCGCCCGTGGGGACACTTTTCGCCCGCCAATTACTTTCCGCCCTAGGGCGGGAACAAACTTTGGGCCCGGCAGGGCCACAATGTTTCTTCCCACCCGTGGGCGGAAAGTGTGCCCTAGGGCGGAAAGCACTCCGCCCGAGGGACGAAAAATATTTCTTTAACCATTTTTACGAACATATAGGCGTACACGAAAAAAACACGTACAATTCTAAATGAAAAAAAAAAAAAAAAAAAAGAAATTACGTTCTTTAATCTCTTAAAAATAATTTTTTGAAAAAAAATCGTCAATGCAAAGTGTCAGGTGTTATGAGTAGCCAGCATCAGCTCAACTTTCAACCATTTGTATAAAATTCGGTAATATATATATAGGTAACAGGGCCCGAAGCGGGGGCATCACGATGCTTAATAACGGTCACTGATTTCACCATTTTCACTAATTCACGATCTCACCAAACCAATTTAACCAATGGATCAATGCGGATTAAAAAGAGAAACGAGGACAGAAAACGTAAGCGTCGCAGCGCCTCCAGGTGTACGCGTCATTTACTATTTTCTATTTGTGCATCGTCCAATCATTGGCTAAAATATTATGCCAATAACCTTTAAACTTTTAAATATGCAAATAAATACATACCTACTAAGTACATGAGTAAATATACCTGTGTCTCCTCATTTCGTGACTTCTAGTATAGTTCTAGTGAATAGTACCAGATATTAGATATAGTACTAATTACCTGTACTGTTCGCTCTTCGATCCAAATTCGATGTCGTGATGTCGTGTTTCTGAGGCTGCCTTTCTACATTTCTGCCATTGTTAATCTTTGCAGCGTGAGCGTACCTATATATACTGTGTGTTACGGTGATATATGTGTACAAGTTGATGTTGCCAACAGGAGCAGAATAGCAGATGTAGTGGCTATTAGTGCTGTTGGCTGTACAGTCACGCGTGAAAAGGAGTCCATCACAAGACGAGGGATATGGTAAAAAAAAGTCTCGAGAAGCAGAATAAGAACAGCTAAAAAGCAACTTTTGGAGAAAGAGACGAGATATCCAAATAGTGTATAAGTGTATGCGTGCATGCTTAAGTTCCTAGATCACCCCGATCGAGGATTGTGGAGTTTGGAGAGAGGACTGTTCACTGGAGTGATTGAATTTTAAGTGTCTAACGTGCCCTCCGCCATATCGTTTCATTATACGTTTCATACATACTTATTCCAAGCACACAGAAAAAACCAAATAAGTGGTGAGTGGGTATCAATTTTTTTTTCTACTTACTTTATATTTTTACGTATATAATAAAAAAAAAATGAAAAATTTTTAAGTGCCGTACAAGTAACAAAAGCTTCCATCAATAACATGGGCCGCTACAGGAGGTAAGCAATTCTATCTACGATATTTCATATGTATTAAAAAATACCCAAGTCATAATAAATATATACTTGATGGTGGTTAAATACTAACTCCAGCCGTAGCCGTGACAGAGACAGGAGAAGGAGATCTCGCAGTCGCTCCCGCAGCCGATCACCTAGAGATAGACGAGGCTGGGGTGGCGGTCACAGGGACAGAGGTGGTGGCGGTAGAAGTGGTAGAGGTCAACCAGGAGCTAATTTGAAAAAACCAAGATGGGATATGAACCGACTAGAGCCATTTAAGAAAGATTTTTACGTACCTTGCGATTCGGTACAAAACAGAGATCCTCGAATCGTCGAGCAATACAGGAGTGAAAAGGAGATCACACTTAGGGGAAAGGGCATTCCAAATCCAGTTTTTACCTTTGAAGAGGCTGGCTTTCCAGAATACGTTATGAGAGAAATCAAGTAATTACAATTTAAACTGTTTTTTTTTTTTTTTATATTGAGCAAAATTTATATCATCAACCTATTCAGAGTACTTTCTTCGTCCAGTTTTTATCTAAGAAACCGTTAAAAGACAAATTTAAATGAGTAAATTGAATTTGTTTTTCTCCAGACGGCAAAGTTTCAAAGAGCCTACATCTATTCAAGCGCAAGGATGGCCGATTGCCCTAAGTGGAAGAGATATGGTCGGAATAGCCTCCACTGGCTCAGGAAAAACCCTTTCATACATCTTACCAGCAATTGTACATATCAATAGTCAGCCTAAGCTTCTTCGTAAAGATGGACCAATTGCCTTGGTGCTTGCTCCAACACGAGAACTTGCTCAGCAAATTCAGCAAGTTGCTGATGATTTTGGACATTCCTCAGGAATCAGAAACACGTGTCTTTATGGTGGTGCTCCAAAGGGTTCCCAAGCTAGAGATTTGGACGGCGGGGTAGAAATTGTGATAGCAACTCCTGGTCGATTGTTAGATTTTCTTGAGTCAGGCAGAACAAACTTGAAAAGGTGTACTTATTTGGTATTGGATGAAGCAGACAGAATGCTGGACATGGGTTTTGAACCTCAAATTAGAAAAATTATTGAACAAATAAGACCAGATAGACAAACCTTGATGTGGTCTGCAACATGGCCTAAGGAGGTTAAAAACTTGGCTGAAGAGTTTTTAAAAGATTATGCTCAAATTAATGTTGGTTCTCTACAGTTATCTGCGAACCATAATATTCTTCAAATCATTGATGTTTGTCAGGAGTATGAAAAAGAAATCAAGTTAGTCACTATTGTTAAAAATAATGGTGTGCTTATTTATCGAGCAGCTTCATTTATCGATTAATGTTTCAGGCTAAGTACACTCCTAAAAGAAATCATGGCGGAAAAAGAAAACAAAACTATTGTATTTATCGAGACGAAACGAAGGGTTGACGAAATTACCAGGAAAATGAAGCGAGATGGTTGGCCTGCTGTATGTATTCACGGGGACAAGACTCAACAAGAAAGAGACTGGGTTTTACAAGGTAAATAAATTAACTTGAAGTTCAGACCCAACATCAGTTCAGAAGTGGTTTTAAACCTGTTTCCGTTAGATTTCAGGTCTGGTAAGGCTCCTATACTTGTCGCCACTGATGTAGCAGCCAGAGGATTAGGTAAGATCTAGTATATATGATTTGTCTTATGTACACATTGATAAGCTTATTTCATATTGATACTAGAATTTTGAAAAGTATATACTCAGGAATTATTGTTTTAATTCCGTCTTTTCAACTGTCAATGTAATTAACGCTATTTTTTTTAAAACAGATACATGCTTATATATTTTTTTAAAACTTATTTCAATGACAATGGCAATAATAATTATTATTATGAAAATGGTAATTATTATTATTGTTTTTTATTGTTGCTGTTAAGTTTTTCTATTACCTATTATTATCCATATTAAAAAAAAAAAAAAAAAAAAAAAAAAAAAAAAAAAAAAAAAAATTTAATCTTACAATAAAAAAGTGAATAAAGAAGAATCTGAAGGAAAATGTCAGAGCGGAATCTGGACTAAGAGGCTGGATCTTTGTTTGCATTACAGAGGCACTTTGCGCGCAGGCCCACGCCGGGTAATGCAAATAGCATTCATTGGAAGGTGCCTCCGCCGTCTGTTAGACCGGCGGTGCACCCTGGTTTGCATTGTCTGCGCTGCGGCTGCTGCGCGTGCCTCTAGTCTCCTGCAGCCGTCGGTGCCCAGGGCGCCGCTGCAATGAGTGGCGCACTCTTGCCTTGCTCGAGAGAAAGGGTGAGAGGGAAAGAGAGACGATGGGGGCGGGCCGAGCCGGTGAATTCAAAGGTGCCGCCGGCCACGGTCAGGACGGTGGACCCACGTACGAGATACGAAAGAGAAAATAATGAAATTTAGAGATAGAAAGGAATCTAAAGAAACCAAAAAAAAAAGAAAGACGCCGGGCAGTTTGCAGCGATCATCCCCGTGCCATCGTTAGCACGTGGCCCTCCCGATGCCTGGTCCTCTCTGCTTGGCTATCCCTGTGGCCGTCGATGATCGGTCAGTCAGCCCAGCAGCCAGCCACCTACTAACTGGCGTCCCCCAAGCCAAATTGCTTGCTCTCCAATTCGGCGATCAGAGGTTGAGCGACTGGCAGACGACCGTACGAGAACATACTCTGCCTCGCCTTCTCCTCGCACCCGCCGTCTACGCAATTTCTTGCGTAATGGAGTCAGCTCGGTTGCTGCTGTTGCTACCAGCCTGGCTTGTGATCTACTGAGGCCGTCTGAACGACGGGACAACACGCAAAGTCGATCAAGGTGACGGTGTAGGTGTCACTGCTGACTTCTGATGCTTCTCTCGGAGGCGTTTCAACGCCAGCTGCGGGGATAGGATTCCCTCCCTGCTGTCGTCACCGCCATCATTATCGTCACTTTTGCAGGCTTCCCTCTCTCGCCCTACTGAGGGGGGACCCGTATTTTCTCGATTAAATAACTGTAATTCAAAAAGTAATTCACAGATGATTGACAGATTATTAATATTGAAACATACCCGCAGGTGTGAGAATGCAAAACACGATTGACTGAGTGAATGAAAGAAAACGTGTATTTATAGTAAAAGAGATCATTTCTGATTATTGCCGCACGAAGTCTTGAATGTTTCGTCAAAATTTTTTTCTCTCATTCATCAAGTTAACTGTATCCATCTAAACTATTCATTTTCTGATCATAAGCAAATGCAAAACTTGATATTGTTATTATTACACTATAGGACTTCCACACACATACACACATCTGTGCAGATTAATCATTATTTTATCAAAATCTTTTAAGTTTTCAAAAATAATAACGATTTTAAATAATTGGTATAAGGTAGAGCAAATTTTTTCTTCTCATTCTTTTGAAATTATTAAAACACATTTATCTATGCACAGTCAGTTGTCTAATCCCAGAAACTCTATTTAAATAAAATATAATGTCTGAATGATTGGAAAAAATTCAAAATTAAAAGCAACCTCATACTCATTAGCATATATCACATAAACTTTTATTACTAGGCAGAAAAACGATTATATCAAGTGTTACAAAATCATGTATTTGGTGGAAATATGATTATATTTGTAAACAAATATGATTGCATTTAATAAACACAGCGATAAAAAGTAATGAGTACTACAGCGAGTGGCTTATGCTCCTTTCAGATGTTGAAGATGTAAAATTTGTTATTAACTTCGATTATCCATCATGCTCGGAGGACTACGTACATCGGATTGGGCGAACTGGACGCCGACAAAAAACTGGAACTGCTTACACATTTTTCACCCCAAGCAACGCTGGCAAAGCGAACGACCTGGTGCAAGTGCTAAAGGAAGCCAATCAAGTGATCAATCCTAAGCTCTTAGAACTAGCTGACCGAGGTGGTGGTTACGGCCGGCACAGGGGTAAAGAGAAATCTAAGTTTGGCTGTTGTGCAATTATTTTAATTTTGTTACAAACTCAAACTCTTGGTCACAACTAAATATAAAATATTAATTTTTTTCGCAATAAAAACATGGAATGTAATTTCAGGAGGAAGAAATCGATGGCGATCGAAAATTGCTCGGCGCGAAAGAGATCGCAGTTTATCCAGAAGCAGAAGTCGTAGTTTAAGCAGGGAACGAAATGGCAAAGGACGAAGAAGCTACAGCCGCAGTTATTCGCGAAGTCGAAGTTACAGTAGAAGTCGAAGTCGTAGTCCTCTGAATAACCGTTCAGGCAAACATTAAATAATGTTAAAAAGACGATTTGGTTTTTTTTTTCTATTGTTATCAGCAGTTGCTACATGAAATAAGTAATATGCTGTCAAATATAGGAAAAAAGAGAAACAATTATTCTAATAGAGGCAGAAGTTCGCTTTTGCTCAAATTGTGGATTAGATAAACATTCATTAATACATCATTGTTTTTTGTGAACGTGATAATCGTCATTGTAATCATTAACGTCATAATCATAATTAATCTTAGTCTTTTAGCAGTCATTTTGCCAAGGACTTGAATTATTCACTGCTTCTGTTTGTAAGCATGTCTTTATTTTAAAACTGTAAAACATATTATAATTACATTACATGTAGAAATGTACATTAATTTTTAGCGCAATCATAACATAATAGAAAATTCATTTCTACATGACATGCATATTTATTTTTTGCTATAATTAGGTTGTGGGAATCATTGTACAGTACCGTAAGAAAAGCACAGACCATAAATACAATTTATCACTTATACACATTGTAAAAAATACAGCGTCTTATTATTTACGACCCCATAAAAAAATTCCATTTAATTTTTTTCACACGTTACAACTGTTTAACTTTATATTTTTCGAATTCTTCAAAATTAATGATCAAACGATGTTACAAATTTTATGTTTCGCGATAAACGACGACATAAATTACATCACGATTTCTGAAGGCAATTTTCGTCATTAATGGCTTTTAGTTTGACACAATTAATACTTTCTTCTTAGAGCCCTTCTTTAAATAATAATTTATTCATTTCAATCATAACGTTGAATAGAAAAATCAAGAAGAATGTTGGTGACAATTATCTGTTTCAGACATCCAGTCTGCAACTTTTTAAATTCGTCACCTTATACGTTCTCGTTTCCAATTGACAAACAGCGTTTCAGTTTCAATAAAATGATGTACAGTATTGAGATTTGCAATTATTTCTTGTACACGTCCTTGCTTACAGTTGTAATTCTCTAAGCCGTTTGCTGTGCATTTAATTTTTATTCAAATACTTATACTTTAACCAACCAAGAACTTCCAGGGAAAAATGCTAAAAAGCGGGTAGTGTGTAATGGTGTAATGTAAAAAAATTAAATACATGATATACGCTTAACCTCGAGATACGAGGGTTGAAGAGAAAGAATTAAGAATACTTGAAAGAGAAAAAAGAGGCGCAGGCGTCGCGCAACACCGCGGATTCGCGGATAGCGGCCATCATCGGTTCCTCTCTACCGAAAGTAACCAACCAACCAGAAGGCGAACGGAAATTTCTAGCAGCTGCCAGCTTCCGGCTTCTACCTTCTAGTCCTACCCGCGACCACTGCGTTCGCGCATATACACGTGTATATATATATACGAACACACATATCGGCAGCAACAATATCAGCTCGCTTAGCTTTCGTTACTTTCGTGTAGCTCAGTGCTGCCTGCCGCCTGCTCTGCTGTGCTGCTGCGGTCTCTGTTATCCAACTCTGCATGCTGCAACTCCTTTTTTAAGGCACTCTCATCTACAAGGGTAAGGTTCTAAAATTTTATTCTGTAAGTTATATAGGTACTAGCACGATAAGTACCTAAGTCGGATTTCAACGTTTAACGTGTGATTGCTGCTTGGCTATCTTACCGTATCACAACAAACTATCGTTGCAATTACTTACTTATTACCTTAACTCGCGAAAGTTGCTTGCGGAGCGGCTTGTAAGTGTCTGAAGAGTAAAATCTGAATTTTCTGATTTCTCTGGAGCAGCTGCTCAAAAAAGCAAATATACACATATAATACGTATAACACGTTGTAAAACTGGTAAAAAAATATTGATATGTATGGCATGTATACATGTTAAACTCGAATGCCTCGGAGGTGGGAGAGTCGGAAGTTTCTCGAGTCCCGGAGCAAGCAAATCTCGCGAATAAACTCAACTTACGTAAGAGTTGTATGCTTACGGGGTATATAATAAGTACATAAGTAGCAATAGTGATATACCAAGACGTGTGTACTTATTATTTTTGCAGAGTTCGCAGAAGGCCGCCCGTGGCAACTCGTCGTATGATATAGACACATAAAATTACATTAGGCATATACGTAAAGCAGATAGAGAGAGGGGACACGTACAATCCATTCGCTCAGCTGTCCTACTTTTTGCCGAGAGGGTCTCACGCGTGTGGATATATAATATATTTAACAGCTTTAACGAAGATTCCTCTAACAATCAAAGTATAATAACCGAGTATATAAGTATATCAAAGTGAGTAGATAAGTCGACCAACAGCCTGTAGCAGCAATTAATCTACTTCGCTCTCTCAATTCCTGCGAAATGTACGGTAACTCGTGCCACGCCAATCAGAGCTCGTGAGTAATATTATTATTGTTATTGTTATTTGCAATCAGCGGTCTCAATTTTCCACGGTTATGTAGTATTTTATAACAGTGTCGAGCATCAAATCAATATCGCTCCTCTTGTAGAAAATGACATTCCAGGGTCGTAAAAAATCTAGTAGCACAAATAATTACATACTTGAATAAATAATGAATAATTATCCATTCAAATGGTTGCATCCGTATGACTACCTAACTACACATCTGAATATTATTGTACAGTTAAATAGTAAAAGTAACATGGAAATATTGTATAGACGACATATGTAGAATATACATCAAGGGTATATAGATGTATACAATACAGAGTTCAGAAAGTGCTAAAATCAATATTCTTACGCATGCACGATCACAAATATCGCTCGTACAATATATTGACAGGGTACGTGTGTGCATTATATTTGGTTCCTAATTTGATACAAACCGGTGCCTGACATTCGCTATAATCCGCGATTTTTCCATTGAAGCCTAAACATGCATGCAGAGCTATCTAACACAAGTTGGTTCATGGAGGTCAATTGACATGGCCGTACACCTCTCGGTTTCGTGCCGCAGCGTTTTTTCGTGCGACTAATGTCAATTCGGAGCAATGTTCAATAACAATTGAATGATCATCCGATTTCCAATCTTTCTTCAACTTTTTGTTCGTTTCTTTTATTGCGGTACCTACTTATACAAAGTTCAGCTGATTTACACGCGTAAGCACGGCCATTTTGTTCGTGCCTACTTTTGTACAAAATTATAGATATATACTTATATACGCGTACGTGGAAAGAATACATACTTACTCTAGAGTTACATTAAATCTATTTGAGGATTTCTCTTGTTTTTTGTAGATTTTGTATCTATGCCGTCTCTCAAACTATTGAAACAAAATTTATCATTCTGTACTTCATAATAAACGCTTGATAACAGGATGAAAATTTTACTTACTTTTTTCTTTAAAATTCTTTATTGTATTGCACATGCAGTCATAGACACTGCGTTAATAGAATCATACATCAGTTTAGCGTACTGAAATGTTATAAGGGCAGTAGAATAGCTGTGTGTAATTTTATTTTAAAAAGAAAAAAAATTCGAAATCTTTATAAAATCGTCGTAGGTGTAGAGTTATTTCATTAGAAAAAATTTTTTTTAATTTTATAAAAAGAATTGATGATTATTGTAACAATTTTAGGCCTAGAATAAACAGAGAATTTAACAATCGTAAAGGTGGTAACAACACCTACTGGAATAGTCACCAACAGCAGCAGCAGCAGCATCAACAACAACAACAACAACAACAAATGATGTTGCATCAATCTCAAATTGACTTCAAAGGAAATAAAAAGCTAAATCAGAAAAAATCTCCAGGAGATCTTTTAAAAAAACCAAACTGGGACATCATGAAACTACCGATCATTACAAAAAATCTTTATGTACCCCACATGAACATATTAAGTCGCACCACTGATGAAGTTGGCAAGTATTACCTGGGAAAAGAAATAACGGTCAAGGGAAACAATACGCCTTTTCCTATTCAAGCCTTTGAGGAAAGCAACTTTCCAAATTATGTCATGGAAGAAATAAGAAAACAAGGCTTTGCAGAACCCACAGCAATTCAGGCTCAGGGCTGGCCAATCGCTCTTAGTGGTCGTGACATGGTCGGCATTGCTCAAACAGGATCTGGAAAAACATTAGCAGTACGTTTATTTGAAGTCAAATTTTTTTCATCTATAAATGTTTAAGGAAAAAATTACAAGCATAAATATCTTAATTTTAGTTAATTTTTTTTACTTTAGACTACATATAGCTTTATTAGGTCATTATATGATAAATCACAATTAGGTGTATGTTCCACCATTAAAATAGTAGTTAATGTAACTTTAAATTTTCAGTACATGCTCCCAGCTACTGTTCACATCAATAATCAACCGCGACTGGGCCGTGGCGATGGACCTATTGTTCTCGTTCTTGCACCAACTCGTGAATTGGCTCAACAAATTCAAAGCGTGGCCAGAGACTTTGGCTCGTCGTCCTGCATCCGTAACACGTGCATATTTGGTGGATCTCCTAAAGGCCCGCAAGCACGGGACTTGGAACGTGGTGTGGAAATCGTCATTGCTACACCAGGCAGGCTTATCGATTTCCTCGAACGGGGTACCACCAACTTACGTCGCTGCACTTACCTAGTCCTCGATGAAGCTGATAGAATGTTGGATATGGGCTTTGAGCCTCAAATTCGTAAAATCATTGAACAAATCCGACCAGACAGGCAGGTTCTCATGTGGTCAGCCACTTGGCCAAAAGAAGTTCAAGCTTTGGCTGAAGACTTTCTTACAGATTACATTCAGATAAATATCGGTTCGTTGACGCTTGCTGCCAATCACAATATTCGTCAGATTATCGAGATTTGCCAAGAGCACGAAAAAGAATCAAAGTTGACAAATCTTTTAAGAGAAATTACCTGCGAACATGGAAACAAGACCATAATATTTGTCGAAACCAAGAAGAAGGTTGATGACATTACCAAGGTGATTAAGCGCAACGGCTGGCATGCCATAGCCATTCATGGTGACAAATCCCAACCCGAGCGTGACTACGTTCTTGCTGAGTTCCGAAGTGGAAAGTCAATGATTTTGGTAGCCACCGACGTGGCTGCTCGAGGCCTTGATGTCGAAGACGTCAAATATGTAGTTAACTTTGACTACCCTAACAGTAGTGAAGACTACATTCACAGGATAGGTAGAACAGGCCGCTGCCAAAGTGCGGGTACTGCTTATGCTTACTTTACGCCGAATAATGCGCGTCAAGCCAAAGAACTCGTCGCTGTTCTCGAAGAGGCTGGCCAGTCCATTAACCCACAACTTGTTGATATGGCTAATTCTCAAAGAAATCAGTATGGCAAAGCTCGCCAGCGTTGGAACGTACGTCCGGGTCCTCCTGTTGCCAAGGAAAGCCACCATCAAATGGGAAGTCCACGCAACAATCGCATTAGCCCGAACCAAAATAACTGGCAGAATAATTTTAATGGACAGTGCCAGAAACTAACCCAATCTACGTTCAACCGTTCCATGTCACGACAGCAAATGGGCTATCAAAATAACCGTCCCAATGGATATCAAGGCAACTATCAGCAGCAACAGTCTTCACCTCCTAATGGTCTTCAAACGCAATCTCAACAGCAGCAGCAGCAGCAAATCATGCATCGCCATCCTCAGTCTCAACAACCGATGCAGCAGCTTCACAGGCAGAACAATTACCAAACGACTGGTGCTAACAGCTATCAGCCAAATACAAGTCCAAGCCCTAATTCTTATGGACAGGGTAGTATGAACCAGCCACAGCAGCGCTACCAGAATTATAGTGGAAATGGTTACCAATCCAACAACAGTCGATACAACAATCGACAGAATAATTATGCTAATGGTCAGCAGAGCAGGCAGCAACAACAACAGCAGCAGCAGCAGCAGCAGCAGCAGCAGCAGCAACAGCAGCAGCAGCAGCAGCAGCAAAATATGTATTCAATACCCCAGGCATTTGTTATGCCTTCGGCCGCCCATGCTGCCGATACCAGCATTCAAAATTTGGTAAACAACAAATTCTTCCAAACTAATCGGCAGCCACCAGCCACCGCCAATCCGTGTGCTTATCAATCTGCAATGGGTTACAATCAGTTCCAAGCTGTTTCGCCTTATGGCTATCCCTATCCACCTACTCCAGTGCAGCAGTGATGCCTTGCTTAAAATTGAGCAGAGCAGTTATATTACTCTATTCTTTTTTTTCTTATCAATATGAAAGGTGGGTTTGTCATATTATCTAGAAAAATACTAAACACAATTAAGATCGTGAGCCCATTTTTCGAATTCAATTTAACTATCAGTGTAACTGAGTATAAAATGGCTTATAAAATTTCAATTACTATATTCCCTGCCAATATTGTTGAATGTAAGATATTCTATAGTAATTTTCTCTGCAACGTTTTCTTTCAGATCCTTGAATAGAATTGTGTCTGTCAAAGAATCGTTATCTAAATCTTTACGATGTGTTCTTTTTAGTACATTTTCAACATCTTTAATAGAGTTGGTAATTCATGTTTTATAGAGCCTCATTTTTTTGGCTTTATCTTGTATTTAAACAATTATGTTTATTGTTGCCGAATACTAAATGCACTGGGTAATTAACATTAGTAATTCAGTTTGAAATCTTTTACCATTAACGAGTTTTTCTGATCATTCTTACTCATTGAAAAGTGTGCAACTCTCATAAATATCGCATGTATCGCTAGTAAAAAAAAAAAAAAAAAAAAAAAACAACATTTTGAGTACATACGTATTCTTAGAGTTTAGCTCATATTACCTGCTAACTTGGCACTGTGCATAGTATCTTTGATCTCTCGATCTTTCACTAAATAATAGCATTATGAAATTGGTTCTATTTTCCTATAATAGGTACATGCAGCATTGAAAAAACTCGTTTAGCAAAATTATCCATTGCTTTCATTTTTGTATTATTATTTGTTTCACTCATTTTCACCTACAAAAATTTTCTGAATCACGCTTTCTAACAGACGTAATTGAAAATATTCTTAAATCAACGTATGATAATAAAAGTTTATAAAACTGTAAGAATGGTAAAATTTAAGGTAAGGCGATCAATTTTCCTAAAGTGCACAATTTTATTTTATCTTAATAATTATTCTCCAGTCAAGTTTTAATGTAGGGGCTTAGATAACTAACGTTGGTATAATAAATATCCTTATATGTTACTGTATTAATATTAAATATGGGTCATAATCGCAAGTGAGTAATTATTATTAAAAGTATTCTCGTCTTCATGAGAAATGCTAATGTAATTCTCTTGCAAACAAAAAATATGTATACTAACTGTATGCTTTTCTGAAATGCACGAAACATATAGAAGGGGAACGTGGATTATAGTAGTACTTTTTAATTTATCTGTAATCTGTCGAATGTATGTCTAAGACGTGAATAGGCGATGCTCTTTATTTTTTATTGAGATAAATCAAATTTTCATTATTTATCAAAATCTCAATTTTGAAAAAAAAATTTCTTAATAACATACTAATAGCATGATGACTATAACAGCTTTATAAATGAATATTTGAGCTACTTCATTTCTACTTTAAATCCATTTAAAAAATCGTAAAGGGCGTCGATTCTTTCAAGGTACAAATAATTATAGAAAATGTGTTTTTCTTTAGATAATTGGAATGCCGAGTTATGTGCTGTAACATTTTATTTGTTACGTTTTCAAACAATACAGTATTTAATGAAGATGTGAAAGATAAAATAACGTATATTACAAGAATTCAAAATTTTTTTTTTTCATTTTTATTATTAATTTATGTACAAAATCGATTATCGTTGCGTTAATTACCAATCATTTTTTAAACATATACTGGTAAGATAACTAAAATATTACAGCACGTACGATAAGAAGTAATGCTATTAATAAAAGATTTAGCTTATCAAGCGAGATCATGAATAAAATTTAAATTTAAAGTGCTGAGTAGTATGCAATAGCAGAAAGACGACGAAAACGCTGTATAATAAAATTGCGAAAAGGGCTTTTTAACAAATCATTACCAATGCTGGAAGAGTTTTTAGTGGGAAAAATAAGGGAAAACTCGACTTCTGCTGGATATATCAAAACGATTTGAATAAGCAGACGTATGTTCCGAGCAAATTATCGTGAATGTTTCTTGCGCGACTATCGATTTAAGTTTTAATGAGCGTATTAAATTATAACGGAATCGTTATTTTATGGTGCAAAGGTTTCGATCTAAAATGCAAGAAGAATAAGATAGAATTAAAATACAAAAAACGCGTTTCATAGTTTTTTTGTGGCTGTGCGTTAACTGAAGCAAAGCTCTCAGTAATTTATTTTTATGATATAGCGCTCTTGTTGATCCGACACGAAGTATTAATTTTTTTTTTAACCCTGAACAATTATCATAAATCTTTTTTTTTTTTTTTTTTTTTCTCTCGAAATTAAAAATTAAAATTTATTGAGTGCAAGCATTCACCATTGCCCGACAATATACTTACTATTATCAATTAACGTTGCTTTGCAATTAATAATTTCCAATATCCCGGAGAACTATTGGAGGTAAGATACTTCACTATGTTGAAATGTTTAGTAAATTAAATTTTCTATTATGTAAATAACTGAACAATATTTATTATAAATTACTATGGGTTGAAATTTCTAAGAGAAAATTTGAAACCTCAACAGCTTATGCTATGGACAGTCTCACATTACTTCGTTTTTGTCGTTGATCGTTACATGCCAACGATTACTACAGATCAAGTCGTTGTCATGTTTATTACATTTTATATAAATCCATGGTGATTGTTCTCTATGCGTAAGTGAACACCATTGATGCAAACAATTATACTTAAAATTAAGTATAAATTATCACGAAAGCTCTCATTTTTAAGAATTTTTTTTTTTTTTATTATTATTATTACTTGTTCATATACCAGTGCGCAGTAGAATCGGGGAAATTAAAGAGAGCCTTGTTTCTCATACGCGTGAGTTACATATTATGCGTCTGTTCGTATAAAAAAAAAGTTTCTACATTATGATAACGTACTGAAACACAACGTTCTGTCTTTCTTTTTCGCAAGCTCGAAACGCACAGATATTTAATATTTAGATGCACTCGCGCAAAAATAAGATCCTCGACGGAATGTATACTTTAGCGAGATGAAGGAGAAGAAAAAAAAAAAAACAATAAAAACCTAGTGTTTTCACGAAACACGTTTGCGTGCACCCTTTATAGAAGTTGAAAAAAGTTTTCCAATAAACGGCAACGCTTGGACTTGAAAATACGAACGCCCGTTTGTCGTTACTTTAATCGTAAACCTATTCTTGTTACTACTATGAATTTTTTTTTATTATTATTATTATTTTTTTTTTATTACTCTATATAATATATCGTATAACATGAGTGTCACTCTCGTCGCTATCGTCGTTTACGTTTCTTCCGAATTTTCAAACGAGCGAACAAAATAATAATGGTAATGGTGTGGGAAACATTCGTTAAAAGCCCAGATGAAAATAATGCATGCCAATGGAGCAGCGTTCGATATAATACAATTCTATACGAGTATACGCAAGGCCTTATTCGTTATAGAAACGGCATGGGAAAAAATACGTCATGATACTTCAATTGAGCCGCAAAGTTGACACACGAATGACAATGGTCGAATATATGTAATAAGGGCTTGGACCCTGTATTACGACCTTAATCAGCAATGTAAGCGGTGACAATGAAGGGTGCGCGCGTATTTCTGTGATATGTATGGCGTAGCATTATTTTAAAGTCGAAAGAAAAATATTACGAAAAGCAGAACGAGGAGAAAAGAGGTTGAAAAATAAAATAAAATAAATAAATAAAAGTAAAGGTTAAGAGCAAAATAATAATAGTAATAATATAGTAACTTACCAATGCTCTTGTGCGTCCGTGCGTTCGTAATAAATAAGCGTAAGGCTGAAATGATGCGTCTCGTCGTTTTCATCGAAAATAAGTTCGAAAGTTTTAACTATGTGAAAGAAAGCGTTTCTTAGCAGCTGCAGGCATTCAACAAAGCGTATCAAAAGTATCTCAAGTTTATAAGTATTTAAATAAATGAATATACAAACAAACAAGTACAGGCACGAAGCGACAAAGTGACAAAACACGTACGTAAAAAACGTCATTACTACAAGCGTTATATATATATATATATATATATATATTATCCTGAAATTTCGAATTTGTCGTGTGCTGTGTTTGGATGAGGTTTAAAGAGAAAAAAAATTGAGGAATAATGCATCAAACGAATAAATACAAAACATTTAACGATAAAATGTAAAAAGCGGCCAATCGAATTCGCTCTGTGAAATACACGATTAATTATGTGTTAAATTACTAATCCAAACAAAATAAAGGCTCCTCCGACAGGCAAACGAGATAGATAATCGGCCAGTAAATGGCTGTTTGGCTATTAAGTTATGTTTACATGCGTTTTTATAAAAATTCTCGATATGTTTTTTTTTCTCTTCGATAGTCCGATTTTGTGGGATAGAAAAAGTATTTCGCATAGTTTGGATTAGTTATTTAACATGTATACTTAAGTTATAGTTTCAGATGAAAAGTGGGTAGCAAAATAATGGAGATAAAAGAGAAATTCATTGCGCCTATCTCGTTCTTCTCTCTCTGACATTATTTAACAATGTTATATACGTTATATTCTAAATCGCTAAGTGTATGGACAAAAATTAAAGCAAAAGCCTATTGTGATAAAATACACTTATGCCACAAAATGTCCAAGACGAGGCTATAAATAAGTGGTGCAAAGTCCTCCGCTATATATGTATACAAATATATATATATATATTTATATATTTATGTAGTCATATATCTCGCGTTTATCAATCATGATGAAATGATCATGACTATAATGATAATAATATCAATAATTATTATACTTGAAAACGCGATCAAGTTTCAGACGTTTAATAATATTTTACGCTTCGTTACGTTATATGTATTTTTTCCCCTACAAAAACTCAGAGGTACTCTCACCTTACGTCTTGACTAGAATCTATTCTTGTTGTTTACCTAATTATTGTCAATCTTGCCTTTTTTTTGTTTTTTTCTAGGTAATTGAAATAACTGTTACTTACAGGGTCAATAATTACGAAAACTTTTCTTACACTAAGGTAATGACTCAGAACAGAAGTACAAATTTTACAAAAATACCAAAATTTGTACTAACGTTAAATTAAAAAAATTCTTATTGAATTTTCTCTTGAAAAAAAAAAAAAAAAAAATTTTGTCATTATGCTTGATAAAAATGATACCTTGTCTATGCATAAACTAATACGTTTATTTACAATATATTTATGATTTGCTTCAAACCGATATGTTGTATAATAATTAAATTTAGATGAGGCGACAATTGCGTAAACAATCGATAAAACCAAGTTTTCATTATTTTCATCAAAGTTAAACTTTTGTATTGAAACAAATATATCTTAGTTGTTATGTTATAATACTATACCAAATGCTGTGATAATTACATAGAAGAAAAAGTTCTATGAGAATTCGTGCAAAAATATTTGCAACTTTGAATACTAAGTATTACTGCATAGAGAAAGATGTATTATTTTTTTAATATTTAGTAAAGGCAATGAAAGCTTTGTAAAACATGTTAATATCAAATAGTTTAAAATTGAAATGTTTCAAACACTGAAGACTGAATTTTCCGTTAAATTTTAAAGTTACGTCTATAAACGTGAGTTGTACACTAATTTTCAAGTTTATGTGCTTTTAAATTCAACTGATTTTTTAGTAACAATACGAACTTTATTTTTAATAATAACCGATAAAAATTGATTGTCATAGTTAAAGAGAATATAAAAATTTGAGACAGTACATAAATGTATTTTGTTTACGATTGTTAGAAGTACGCATCATTTTGAAATGAGAAATTTTTTTAGTATAACCATAAAGAAAGTTCAACGATATTTGTAATTTATCAAACAGCATTTCGATTCTTTTACACACTTTTACAGTAAATTTTCGTATGCATTTCATTTCGTCGTAAAATATGTAATAAAAATCGATCTAGTATCAATGTGGAAATAAGCGTACTAAATATTTTTCTGCACTGGTTCCAGTTGACACTTATTACAAAAATACGTTTCACTTGGTCATCGTAATTTTTTATAATAACAATTTATACAACTTTCAAGTTTCACAATGATGATACTAGATGTTTATTAGTTTACTAACATCGAAAAAAACGTTTCAGTTTTTTCTAAAGGCTGTTGAATACATTACGATTATACTAAAACATTTCGAATAATTATTTTAAACTGATGCCGTGTACTTTCTTAAACATACGTATTACGATTTGTGTGACTGTTGATAGATAAAAATTAATTTTTCCAGCTTTTTATCGTTAAAGGTAAAATAACGAGAAATAATCTTGATAAAAGGTCGCCCATTAAAATTTTTTTTGAGATAAAAGACGACACGCCAGATTCTAGTCAAAATTAACATTTAAAAAATATTTATTTAAGCCTCGCAATGACTTTAAAGCGTATAATTTTTTTTTACTCTCTCAGAAGAATCTTTGAACTATTACCAGTAAACAATATGGTGAAAGTTTTCAAAGTTGAGTAAGATGTTTATGAAGAAAGAGAGAGAGAGAAAGAGGGAGAAAAACTTTGTGAGCAAAAATTGCTTTGCTCGGTACAATCAAACTATTGTTAATAACGTGATATTATTACATGCAAACAAGAATTAATAGAGAGAAAGAGATAGCATGAAAAGAGGTATTATATCGTGTAAATAGAGCAGACTTGACGGGCCGAATTTAAATGTTTGCAGAAGTATTAATAATAGAAAAATGTGAAGAAAAAAAATTAAAGAATAACCAGTAAGACCACTAAAACAAAAAAAAATCATCGTCAATACTGAGATTCGAACCCGAGAATGCAAAAACAAAATGATATATATGCGTGCGAGCCATTTATGCTACGAAAGCTCTGTGTATCGTATTGTCAAGATTTAATCATGTTTATAGTGAAGCTCCGAAGCTTGTCCTAAATATCAAGGCTTGCTATAATTAATACATTTATTTAACAATCTCAATTTGGTATTTATTTGTGTTGATAATCATTATTATTACACGTTTCAAGACTTCATTTTTGATATAATTTTCGTAGTTCGATCATGTCCTTACAATTATACATCATCTAGATCGTAGGACGTTACTATAATATGTACAAATAAGTGCGCGTGAAACAAAAACTTATGAAATAACGATGAGCTAATTAAATAACAAAGATCATAGTATTTGTATACAGTTAATGTAGGCGTTATATCTTTCTGAACTTCCTTATCCTTGATAGTCGAGTGGTAAAGCGTGTTTGTGTCATAGGCGGGCTCTACTAGAGGCTGCGCCCCCTGCGCGCTCCGCGCGCCTACCCCCAAATTTAATCACTCATTTATTTTCTATGTACAAATGACTTTTCACTGATTTTTCAAAATCTTATTTTTAAATCTACCCGCGCTTGATCAGTCTGGGCCAATCACACAACGAATAAACAGGCTTTGTCATGTGACCCATCATTTTTTTAAGATAGGATAAGTGTATATCAGAAGTTGGAGTTAGTAACTACAGACGGGAAAAATTTACTTCTCAACGAAATAGTTTTTTATTTGAATTTTTTTTTTAACTTGCAAAGGAATTAAAATAAATACTTTTGAAACTCATTAAATACTAAAATTGTAGAACAAAAACTCTTGGTTAACTCTCAAAGAATTAAAAAAAGGGGACATCAGTGAGATACTATAGGAATACTTTAAGAATACTTCAGAAACACTTTGAGAGTACCAAAACAAGTTCGTCACTGAATTTATAAAAAACTGTTTGAGAATTATGGATGCTGGCTAGTACATGTTATACAGTACTTTTTTATTGGATTTTTGGTGAGGCATGAAGTGAGAGTTGCATCGATGGCTGAGCAATTAGGATTGATCCACTTGCTCTCGCACTTAAGGAGGTTGACTGCCTGAAGCAATCGACAGTCAGTTTTTAACGAAAATTTGTACAGAGCTTAAAAGATATATAAATCAAATTTATGTAAAGATTCAACGAATCTGGGTGCTTATGAAACGAGAAATAAATTAAACAAATCTAGTAAATTTTAAATGCGTTCTTATAGGAGATAGTAAAAAGCGACTTTTATAATCAAAAATTCTAATACAATTAACAGTCAGATTTAGACAAAACTATCGTTTACAGTAAATTAGCAACTGCCTATAATTATGTATATTGAT